GCCTTAAATAAAAAATAAAAAAGAGGGATTAAATTAATGGAACTAAATATAACTATTAGGTAAGCTAAAAAATAAAGGGATAAGGATTAAATCTATAGAATATTATAGGCTAATAAGTAAGGAAAAGGAAGTATAAAGTTATTATTTATTAAGGATAATAGGAAAATAATTAGGGAAGATTATAATAGGGCTAGGAATAGGGGTATAAATATTACGGAAGAAAGAATATAGCGGATGCTTTACTTTGATTTCTTTCGTTGCTTTTATATATATAAAACATAGGTTGCCCCGGTGCGAGCTAAATAGATGAGACCTAGTAGACAGCCTATAACGTACCTTAGAGAATATATATTGCCTTGCCTTTTATACTTATTGATCAGAGCTTTTCATGTATTATTTTATAATTCCTAATAAGAGGGTGTAGGTTTGTTGGTTTGTTGTTATTGCCTGTCAGCTGTCCCCCCAGCTCCCTTCACACTATATAGCTTTTATTTATTATTATTATTAATAGCAAATATTAGGATTCTGGGCAACAGGTTGTTAAAAAGGTTTTTAAGAAATTAATACCTAGTTTTTAATTAAAGCTTTAAATATAATATTAAGCCTTAAATTGAATATTTTTATTTTTATTTAATATATATTTATCCTTTATTAAATTAGGATTATTTATTACCTTTTCCTTATAAACCTAATAACTTAGAAATGCTTTTTTACCCTTAGGTAAATTAATTATACTAAAAATTCCTTAATTTTAAAGTTCTTTTATTTCTATTAAAGAAGTTAAATATTATTCCTTTTTATTATTAAATTTTATAGCTTCTTTCTAATTTCTTAGTTTAGCTATAGCTATAGTTAATACGAAATTCCTTATTTCTTTATTATCTTTTTAATTTTTAATATTATTTAATATTATTACGAAATTTAATAATAAAGTATCTTTTATATTATATAGGTTATTAATATTAATTATTATAATATTACGGATTTCTTCCTTTTCTTTATAGAAGTTTTCGAAAATAATAGGTTTATTAGCGTTACTTTTATTCCTTTTATCTTGTTCTTCCATTTCTTAATTTATCTTTTTTATATTTTCCTTATAAAATAGGTTAAATAATTCGATATTTTTCAAATTAATAAAATATATATTTTCTAATATATAAATATCTTTAACCTATTTAAGTCTTTTTAATAAAATATTATATACTTTATATATATTACTTTTATATAATTAAAATAAATATATAGCTTTATTACCTTTTAAAAATAGCTTATTCTTCTTTTTATTATTGTTATAATAATATAAAGAACTAAAAGCTTTTAAATTTCCTATATTAGGTACTTTTCTATTATAAGCTTTATAAGGGGTTTTTAACTTTAAAGCTATATAAGGAGTAATATTATATAAATATATGTTAAAAGACGGTCCTTTATAGGGCATCTATAGTGAATACTATAGAAGGGGCTCACCCTGTAGTTGAAGGATAGCGGAGGTTATAGTGGAAGGTACGGGGTCTATAGTGCTGGAAGCAAGGGCCTTATAGTGGATAGGGTTACTATAAGGACTAAATGTAGGGGACTGAAAGGAGTGTATTGCTTAAAGAATCTATTAACTAAGTAAGGAAATTCCAGTGGTTATATAAACTGCTATATAGTATAGTTAATGTTAATAGTACCTAAGCTATAGTGCCTATAGTGGGCCCAATCTTTTAGTTAAGCTATTATAACGTTAGCTGAAGGATTAGTTGAATCCTAATGCCAGTAGTGCCCTTTAGCATGCCACTTAGTGGATTGGCTAGTAGCTTTAGCATGTTAGCTAGGCTACTAGAATACCCGCTAAGCTGTACGCTGAAACCTAGCGCTAATAGCGCTGTCGGCGATCCCGTTAGTAAATTGGCTAATACCCTTAGTATACCCGCTAGGCTTATTAGGATACCTGCTAAGCTACGCGTTGAAACCTAGCGTTAGTAGCGCTGTTAGCGATCCAGTTAGTGTATTGGCTAGCGGAGTGACCAGTGCCCCTAGCGAGTTAGCTGGGCCACTTAGTTAGGGCGGGCCCCTTTAGGGCGGGTCTTGGCAGGGCGATACCTGCTAGGGTAGGTTTAGCGTAGCAGTTAACGCACCAGTTAGTAAGTTGGCTAGGGGTGTGATGGGCACTGTGGCACCCACTATAGCCTCTGCTGTAACAGCCACTATGGAACTGCTGTAGCAGCCACTGTAGCAATGTTGTGGCGGCCCTTATGGCACTGTTGTGGCGGCCCTTGTGGCACTGCTGCAGCACCTACTGAGGCACCTACTGTGGCACCACTGTAGCACCCACTATAGCACCTACTGTGGCACCAACTGAGCCACCCAGTAAGGCACCCGCAGTTGCTAGCTAATTTTAACAATATATAGTTTATAATAAAGCTTCCCCCTAAAAATAAAAAGGGAAATTAGCTATATATAATAATGATCTGACCTTATTTATTAAAGTTAGATTTATTCTTTTAATAAGACTATTATACTTTTTATTATATAGAAGGCTTTTAAAGTATTTTATCCTATATTGTTTAAAATAAATTATAAAACGGTTATTTATAAATTTATTACTATTATTTAAAAAAAACTTCTTTATTTTTTTACTATTATTAATACTATTTTTTATTTATTCTTTATATTTTTTAAAAGTAAAGAATGCTAAATCCTTATCTTTTAATAGCTTAACCTTTAAATATTAAGTTTTTTTATTAATAAAGGTTATATAATAGTAATATTTATTATAGGTTAATGGAAAAGGTTTATTTAAATTGCTATATATTTATTTTAACTTTATATATTAATTTTCGTTATTAAATTTTTTATAAATCTTTTTTTATATTTTAACTTAAAGGTAGGTTTTATATTTAATTAAATAAGCTTCTTTTATAGCTTTATATAATATTTTTATCTTTAAATTTTTTAATAAGCGTAATAAAGGCTTTTTATTTATATAGCTTAAATAAATATGCTATTTATAAAACTTATTATTAAATAAAGGAGTTTTTATTAATTAAATATTTACTTTTTTTTTTAGCCTTATAGGTTTATTTTAAATAATTTTATTAGTTATATTAGTAGCCTTTTCTATTAAATTAACTATTTTAGTAAATGTATATAATTTAATATAAAAAAGACCTTTATTTTCCTTTTTTTAAATTAATAATTTGTTATTTCTTTTATTTATTATTTTAATTATTAAATTATTGATAATAATAATAATATAATTAAATCTTTTTATGCTTATTAGATTTATTTTTAATTAGGGAATATAATAAACCTTATAGAATTTAAAGGATTTTTTAATATTTTAAACATAACCTTTTAATTTATCTATTTTAATTATACGTATAGTTTTAACTTTTCCTTATTTAATAAACCTATTAATTAATTTATAATTATAAAGAATATCCTTATTATAAATTATATAAATTATAATAGTATTATTTATTTTAAATGGAATTATTTTATTATAAAAATTCGATTTTTTATAAGTTTTTAAATTTTTATTTAATTTTCAATTAGTTTTTCTTTTAATTATATTAATAAATTGATTATTAAAGTAAATATCCTTATTAATTCCTTTATTTAAATTATTTATTTTAAGGTTATTAATTATAAAATTTATAAAAGGTATAGGGGGGTTATTTACCTTTATATCCCTTTTTTTTTATTTTTATAATCTAATTTACCTATTAGGGTTTTAACCTAAAGGTTAAAGTTAATATCCTTAATAGTTATATCTTTATTGTTAAATATATTATTTAAATCTATAAGGTCTTTAGTTTGGTTAACTTTTTTAAAATTTTTTAATTTTTTTAACTATTTATTCTGCTTCTTTAATGTAATAATTAAGGCTAACTACTTTTATTTATGTTCTTCCCATTTAAACTTAATATTATCCTTCTTTTTTTTTATTTTCTATTTATTTTTTTAAATTTTTAACATTTTATTTAAATATAAAAAATAGCATTTCTTTTTAATATAACCTTTAAACTTATAATATTAATATTATTTATTTTTATTTACTTTTCTAACGTTTTTAGCCTTATTTATTATATTTATAGCTTTATTATTATAATTTTTTAATTTAAATGTATTAATTAATACTAAAAAAAGTATATTAAAGGTATAAATATTAAGGTCCTTTTATAGGTTTTAAGTAATATTATCGATTAATCCTTTATAATTACTATTTAAATAATATAATACCTAAAATATTATAACCTTTTTAAATAATTTAATACCCTTTTAAATTAAATTATTATTTAATTCTTTAACTTTATTTAAGTACGTTTTTATAAAAGTAAAGTAAAATAAAGAAGTATTAAATAGTTCTTTAAGGGTAAGGAATTTAGTTATAAAGCTTTTTAAGTTATAAAGATTTTCCAATTTATTTTATACTTTAATTAGGTTATTAACGCTATATAAATGTATAAAAGGGGTATTATTATATAGTAATTAAATAATATTAAATACTTTTTCTTTTTTATATAGGTTAATATTCCTATTTATAATAATAAAGTAGTAATTATTCTTTTTTAAGGTTGCCTTTATTTTTATTCTCCAAATAGGGTAATTAATAGAATCTATAAGCTTTATTACTTTATAAATATTTAATTAAAATATATTTATCCTTATATAACGTATAGTATGCTTAGATATATGGGTTTATAGGGGTAAGGGGGTAGGAAAGTGTCGCTTTCTTGTAGAAAAAGTAAAGGTTTTGCGATTTCAATTGAAAACGTTTTGGTTATAGCTTGAATATGGCTTAGTTAACTTGATCGTAGCTTAGTTGACTCGATAGGGGTTGTAAAAGGTGGCTTAGGGGTCTTAAAAGGGTAGTTCGAAAGGGTTGAAAGGGGTCTTCGTTTCCGGTGAATATATACGTAATTATACCGGGCTTATAACCTCTTGAAGGCTATTCAGGTCAGCTTAAGTAATTATATATATCTTAATAAGCAGTTTAAAAGATGATTAATAAGTGGGGTAAATGGATAAGTTATTTAATTATCCAATATGGAAGGAGAGTTATATAAATAGGAATACAGAATATGGTCTTCCTAACCGCGGGGATAACCCGCTATATATAGACCTAGCCGCTGCCCTGTAGGGTGCCCTGAAGGGTTCCCTATCGAACCCACTGTAAGGTTCGAACCTATGACTCGTACCCAGATGACTAATACCCTGCAGGTGAATTACCTAATTAGGTATTAGGTAAACAACCTGACTGACATCAAGCACATCTATCAAGAACCCAAAGCGCTTGAGCGGACGTCGGATACAAGCTATATCCGATGCGAAGAATAGGATTAGGAAATATGTACTACTGGTGCCTTAAAAACATTAAATCTTCCATTGGGAGTCCTGAAAATGCATGATTCCCTCCTGTTGTGAGTATCACTAATGAATCCATGTCCCTTGGAGAAACTTGGGACCTTATGCTCCTATGTATGACATAAACGCTGATTGTGACGTTGCTGCTTCGGTACTTCGTTACTCGTCTCAATGGTCAATGCGAGTAACAAGAAATGTTCTCGCGCTCCTTGTATTCCAGATAATGGAACATAATGATCTCTACGACTATTCAGATGGTAGGTCAGGGTTCCCTAGTTCCCAGCTCTCGACAACTATCGAAGAGGGTCGCTGATCGAGGGTGTCTTGGGAGAACCTGATAGTCGAGAAGTGCCAATCCAGGTCCGGGTTCATATAGCTCGAGACACCTCCAGAATTCTGCTGTGCGGACGACTCTCCAGTGCCCCCGGATCCGTAGGCGGAATCTTGGTCTGCATTGTGGACAGGCAGCACCCAGTCCTTGGGTTGAGGATATTCGTCGAGGACAAGCGGGTTGATCGTATTCTGCATGTTCTGTAGACCATATGTGCCTAAGCTTAGTTGCTTCGCCGCCTTGCGCTGCCGGATATAATGTAGGTTCTCCTCGCCTAGTCTCGCAGACTCCTGGTTTACCATGTATTCAGGTATGAAGTAGTGATACTCTGCTCGAGTCGTTGAGTTAGCCTTGAGCTGTCCGGTATGCAATTGGTATCTCAGTTTGACTTACTATTGACCCAGGGTACATGTACACCATCACCGAACAGAGAACGGCAGAGAGACTCATAATTCGGCTTCACGGAGGCCTGGTCCTTGGTATTTGTCCCTTTCCAGCTCTTTAGTATCCTGTCTTGTTCGTCGGTCATCGTCTTCAAGGAATGATCCGGATCGGACATCGTCTTTTTACAACCCTATTTCGCGTAAGTCGAAGTTCAGCGTGTGCAGCTTCGGGGACGTGAATTCGTTACATTATCCCAGTGACGTTTTTTGATCTTTTCCAAGTCTGAGCGATGACTTTCTCCCCTCTTGGCGCTTGGGAATCGGTGGTCGCAGTGACCGCAGGAGAGAAGAAAGGAGTGGTACTTCCAAATGTGGTCGGTTACCTCTCGAAAATCGGCAAACGGGGTCAACTACAAGGGTAGAATGTTAGACAGGGGAGATCGTGCCGTCTAAAGGTAGGGATCATAAGTAAAATAAAGCACTTGCAGTACAGGGATTTTTTGAGTGTTTATAGAGCTGGGGGAAGCAATTCGACCAAGGACATTGCAGCGCATCTCCCCGCATCCCTCCATCTTTATAGGTAGGATCCGGCATTTCGAGCTAGATTCGAGTTGCAGTTTACCAGGACGTTCAAGCAATAGATGCTAACGAGTATAGACGGAATAGGTAGGTAAGAATCGAACGAATGCAGTATTTGGGTGCAGTGTCTTTATGAAACTTCCTGAACCAAACAGTTACTGCAGCGTATATGGCAACACCCGGGACAAGATAAATCGTATGTGTAAGAGTTGTTGCCAAAAGAGCACGAACACTTCCAACGTTGTTAGTTTTCGCCCACTACTTGATTGAGTAAGAAACTCACACAGTTCCACCGCCAACGAGATTGATCCCACCTCTTATCGAAGTTATTTATCCTCGTCTTCGCTCGGTTGATGCAGCCTTCTTTCGTTTCTCCTCCTTTCCAAGGCTCTTCGCGGCTTGTTTCTCCACCCCAGCGCTGAAGATGGTAGGAACTCGAGGAAGAATCGCGCCCAGAACCTTTCTAAAGAGTATATGATTAGAAATGGTACGCTTTGTCACTTCCCCCATGCGCATTACGCGAAAGGAGAGGAGGTGCGAGAGCAAGAATCTCTACCTGGGGTATCGGGAAAAGAAGAAACAAAGGGTTTGTTGGGACCTTGCTTAGCTGAGCAAACCAAACTCGACTCCCTGTGTTAGAGATGCTGGAATTCAACTCACATGGTTCCTCGACTGCTTGCTGCCTCTTGTCATCCACCTAGGAAGAATGAAACTTCAGGGGTAAAGGGTGGGACATTATTAGCTTAGTGTATGCTTTGTTTGTTGACGTGTTGTAAGTGAGGGCATGTCAGAGATTTCATCTGTCGTGATCACGACGGAGGGGGGAGGGGTCGTTTACCCCGCCAGCTGATAATATTCGAGTTGCAAGTTAAAAGGTCCCATACTCCCAACAGACCGGGGTGTTGTTGGCAATGATGCTTATGGCTAATCGCTTACCATGCTTGAATACATCAGTGGCGTCACTGGCGTGGCATTCAACATACAGCATGGTCTGTTACTGCTTCCTTCGCTGTATTGCAGTACATTACGCCTCATGGATCTTGAGATACTCTACGCTTATCAATAGGAGAATCGGAATGACTTAAGACTACGCGATTACCAGAGACGTTCTGTCCAAGTAACCTATGATTATGACCTGTATCGCGATGTCAGGGCTATGAAGTCATAATCCTTGCTGCGTCTTGATTCGAAACAATAATACCTCGTATTGCCAAGGGGCTAATAGTTGCTGCTCCTATAACAAGCGTGATCTATATTGCCATCGCTTGCAAAATGATGCGGTACAACCCAACAATCAAAGTCTTTTGTGACAGAGGGCACAGCTGAAATATCCGCCGTGACCACGATGCTGACACAAGTAGACGTTGGCTGATGCGAATGGCTAGGAATCGCCGTCACGACGACGACAATCTGAATACCGCGTGACACTCATCGCCACAACAGATTTTAGCCGCTTTTTTATTGCCACGTCGGTTGTGCCCCTAACCATACAGAGCCTGCTCTTTGCATCTGTCTGTGTTGAATATGGCATGTGTCAGTAATTATGGTGATTGCTTTGCTGCCATCCATGGTTCCTTGATAAAGCAGTGCTTATCTCTTTCGTATTGGATAAAAGGCTGAACGTGTCAGGAGTATAGCTATAGAAGCTTTATGTATCAATGGTAAGTGAGACCCCATATTATAAGTTGCGGAACTGTCTCCATGGTGTTTCCCTAAGATATCATATCACTCTTATCAGTACTTGTTCGTTTTTCGAGTCCCTCGAGAAGTAGGACGATGCATTTCTTAGATACTATAGGATCATTCTGCCAATTTTGCTGAATTAAACCCCTCTTAAGTTTCATTCTAGGTTCGATTATCGTGATCCGTTCAGTGATGCGGAGTATTTCGGTACGGGACGCTGAAGAGCAGCTGGAGCTCCAAACTCTACCTGTAGAGCGGAATCCCATAGAAACATTATGTAGTCATACTTATCCTAAAACCTTAGTTGCGAGCGGCCCTGTTGATTCTTTCACTATCACCATTACAAATAGCTTGGCCGCCGCGACTCGCGTTATTGACGCGCGTTCTTCATATCGCTGTCAACCTACTTAAGCCACAGCGTGCAGCGTAGCAGGATGCATGGGGAGCGGTTGGGTTAAGACTGTGGAGTAGTGAGGGGGGTTATCAGTCACGTTACGTGCGGCAATACTTGCAGGAGTATGGAGCAGATCCGGGAAGCATCGTGACTTGTGGGGTTGAGCGGCACTTCATATATATCTTGATCCAGGCCAAGACAACCAGGTCGTAATCTATTGATTGCACTGATAGCGACGTGCATCTGCATACTATGTAGTCGCTCCAGCCAGTGAAACAGAGAACTTTTGCTGTTAGGATACGCGACGCCAAGAGACGATCTCTTTAAACGTCGAGTCTGGATAAGGCGACTCCCATCTTCAAACCTGAATCTTCATCCTCTGCCTTGTGTGACAGTTTCCTATCACTCGTGGCCAACACGTTATTCATGACTGCCTTGGGAATAGCCTGTTTAGCGAGGCAATTATCTACCTCCTCCTCATGTTCTCCTGGATGACTAATCGGCGCATTGCTTTACCAGGAATAAACCAGTACCATTCACTCTCTGGATTTGGTAACAATGTCTCCACCTTCGCATGAATGGCGTCGATGGCCAGTCAGGTTACTGAGAATGAGACAGTGCGCTGCATATGCCGGTATCTGCAAGGGTGGCGCCTGCAGGGCATACCGTCTATCATACTACGGCGATCGACTCCTGTTCACACAATTTGTCTATAGCGTGCTCTGAATTGAACATAAGGAGATAGTATATTGTAAGGATAGAGTGAACTGTAGTCGTTCCCTGGCGAACACACAACATAAAAGACTGAAGCTGAGTGAACCGAAGGTGAAAGAAAACCTTTCATCAACTCTCCCTCTACTTTTCCATATTTATTACATGGACGGGATATTTTGCCGTATACTCCCCATCTCCCCGTCCACACCATGTCCCTGTTCAGAAAATTGCTCCTATGACCCAGCCTGAGTCCTCACTCTAATCTGCTCTGCTAACATTAAGGCATTAAGCCTCGCCTGCTGGGCTACTAGATCGGCCTCAAGCCGATCCAAATCAGCCCTTCTCTGCTCTGAACTGCGGTGTCAGTAAGTGAAAGTTTTGCTTGTTTATGGATGTACTTACCCGCATCTTGTCTAGTCGGAGCTTCACGTAGCCACTGACGGGCTACGATGATCATGCTGTCGATAACAGCGATTCTCTGTCGTAGGGCATCCATATTATAACGAAATAGTTTTGAAGCTCTTTAATAAAGCTTAAAGACCTAGTTTAATCAAAGTTCTGGGGAGTTGCGGTCCTAGCCGGGAAAAGTTTTTGCTGCGATGTTCAGACTTTTTCTATGATCATTTCGCGCTCTTGATCCCAACAAGAACGCAGCTGCCTGCCTCATATTGGCACCCAATGCCTTCGTCTTCTTGATGCTGGAAGTAATCGGGTGGTGATGAGACGGGTTTCGGCTCCTCGCAATGGCAATCCGACAGCTAGACCATAGGGCTAGAAAATTGATGGTCAACCCGTTTGGAGAGCTCCAGTCTTGAGTGTAGGCGAAGAGAAGCGAGTGTTGGTGCTAATGGAGTGGTTCACAACCACGGCATAAGCGGCCTAGATATGAGAAGCCCCTTATACCCATTCCCCTCGCTCTAGCACGCTGGAATGCTACTATTGCCTAGCGCCAATCTAATGTCCCATCGTAAATGCTCGATCACCGAAGGGTTGCAACTACTCGCATAGCCGAATTTGACAGATATCAGGGAAAATCTTGGCGGCAAATAACATGCTTATGCGCGGCATTTCGTACCCATCGAGCCGATGACTATGGCTGAGGGCGCCAGGGGCGCATGCCTCGGCTATCTCGGAATCGTCATTAACACAGGTCTGCCCCGTAGCCCAGACCGTCGACCTACCGCGCTACTGTGCGGTCGTGGTCCGAGACGCAGTTGGGGCATATGATTGGACATGCCTCACTAGCTGCTGATTGAATGCAACGAGAGAGAAAGGCTTCGTGGTGTATGGGATGCAGTGAATCCGGTACTGGCGTAAAGCTTGGTCTATCAGTTGTAGTACTCGAATATAAGTAAAAAGACAAGAAGCAACCCCCCCTCAACCCTTTGTCCACTTAATTTTTGGCACATACCCTGGCATGGCGAATACTAGCTATCAGATGCAACTGCGGACACAGACGTAAATGGAAGCATGCCTTTACTCACATTCGTTTACAGTGTATCCTTCCTGCTATTGGGTTGATCCGTTTCAGGGGCAGCATCCGGTAGTGTCACCATCATGTATCGGGCCTGTGCTTTCGCATCTGCCACCCGAGCAGCGGCTCCAAGGGCAACGGTACCAGGGATACCTATTTGGCGTTGGGATATTGCCCTACGATGATCTCGATTACCGAGGTGACTGGCTTGTTTGTCAATCTGGGCAATCCTGCACAAAGCCAACAACCTGGCTTCTTCCCGGAGCCGACATTGACCTAACCCTACATCGGCTTGCTTGATTAGTGGACACGACCGAATTTTATAATTCTGGCATGATGATTCGATGCCGTAGTGCATCAGGCCGGGAGGCACACCCAGGAAGACGCCGGATATCAGGCCCTATGTCGAATGCTACAATGTGATGGGAATAGAGTGTCTTCAGAGATACCACCAACACCCCCGGTTTATACAGCACGACACTCCCAGGACACTTCACTACAACAGTCTATGTCAGTGATGGCAGTTCAAGCAATCTTGTAATTATTGAAACGCGAAGAGAACTTATGAAGACATGACCCTGGCCTAACCCCAAAGCGCCATGGTACCCCGAAAGCAACCATGACCAAAAGGATTACCCCAAGAGCTACTCACAAGCTTTTGAAGGATCTATACAGGGAAGTCCCGGGGATAAATGATTGGCAGAAATGGGCTCATAATACAAGTCATCGTGCCCAATAGATTGGGCTATCCTCGATGACCCAGATGCTGGCCCAAGAGAAGAGAAGAACAACAGGAGTAAGAACTACAGCAGCGAAAGGACATGCTGCCGATTACATATAAATACGAATAATTATGGGCCGGTATGCAGTGAATACCTAAGTCACACCCTCCCCCTAGTGATGACAGGAACGCGGATGACATCACCTGTGCTGAGCTTCTCATTGAGAAGACCACTGATTTCAAGATGCTTATGCACAACTTGGTGAGAGGCTAGATACAGGATCTGAAAGCAATTGATCGCTAATAGCTTCCATAAGAGAAAGGGGCCGCATGAAAAATGACGATGTGAATCCGTCACCGATGAAACATAATCTGAAGTACGTACCAGCGAGCTATGATGGCCAAATATAAGACTAATGGCAAACGAACTCACAGAGTGAGTAAATGGGAGGCACCCTAATCTTGCGTTGCATCTTCAGCCGCCGAGATCGCCTTTCGACTACACAATCGAGGATCGAGACCGCGCGCAATCTCAGCAGCCTAATCTTCGTTCACCCGAGAGCTGCGGCTTCAGAAATGGCGCGGGAGTGTTTTTCAGTTCGGACACCGGGACCATTCTGACTCGGCAATTTCCAAGAGGTACTCTACCTAGGCAGTTATTAGCCCTAGGACGCTCCGGCTCCAGGTACGATAGCTGCCGAGCTGACGCTATTCAAAAAGGCGTTGCCCTGCATGTTGAGCTTACGGGATCCTCAGGGTCACGTCCAATGACAACTCTGGCCTGATGAATTTTCCTGCACGAACTTTCCCCAGCCCAACAGGTCTTGGCTTGGGTCTGACAGTTTGCGGTGTGCGGTGCGCCTGTGAGGATGCTTTCTCAGCTACGCTTTCTCCATCAAATGTCGCATCATTGACCCAAATTATCGTCTATTTGACCGTTGGACGACCGAAACCGACAAAGATTGAATGCGCTTGAAGGAGATTGCCTTCCTAAAACTCCCTCGCGCGGGCCTTCTAGACTGCAATAAAATATGCAAATCAGCTGTGGTGATCCTCGTAAAATTGCTTGGCGCCACCCTGTCCTGCAGGTCGTTGACCTCAGCTCCATCAGCTATCGAGACAATTGGGGTTAACGTCACAATGGCCGGGTCTTACCGCAGACACGATACTTGATAGTACCCGTATTGCGAACGAGCTTAAATATGTCGATCCCCGGGTCTGCTGCGGAAGAGAAGAGGAGGTGGTGCTCATGACATCCACATCCTCTCCATCCAACTTGAGTAAACATCATTACTCTAAAATGCAGCAAACTCTTGCCTTCTTGTTGACCTCGGCCGCTGCCGCCGTCTCGGCGTGCACAATTCCGGGAGGCCCGGCGCTGTCCAACAACATCACAGAGCCCTTCGCGCTCAAGCTACAGAATGCCTCCAACCCAGACGTCCACAATCACTTCCTAAACATCTGGGACTGGGGTGGTGGCGACCAGCACCTCTTCGTCAGTCCATCCGGTAACTCGACGAACGAGCTACAGCTCATCGACGGCGTCATCACCCTATCCAGTGCCTTCTGGAACCCGCCGCGACGGGCCGTTATTAATGGGGAGGTATGTTATGCATGACTGGTGTCGTACAAAGGCGCAAATCGTTGCAAATATTATGCCGTGCCAGAAGCGATACTGCACGCCGCCTGTGTAGCACAACTTGACTGCAAATGTAACCCAACTCGCTGACCTGTCACCACCTACAGTACGAGCCCTTGGACAATACTACTAAGATGTTCATGACGGAGCGTGGAGACCCTCGCGCCGTCTGGGACGTCGTATACGGCTGTAACCCGGACACGGATGCGCTACAGGTCGAACTCAAGTTCAAGTCTCGCGGCACTGAGGAGCTTGGCGGCCTCATGGGTGTGCGCCCTTTCAATGGCATGTATGATTTCCGATGGAAGGGACCGGGCACTTCGGGTAAGTGAAATATCGATGCCTACACCTTATATCTATTCACGATACGTACAGTCGCTAACAAGTGCCATAGTCAACGACCCCAACCGCCCTTGGACTCATGTTACCCTCGTCGTCGTACACAACGCTACGTTCACTTGATGAACACGGTGCTAATTGACGCACATTGGACATACCGGTAGCGATCCTAATGGGCCGTGGCGGATAATTCGGTAACAGCAGCCATGCTCTTGACGATCCCGGAGACCTCAGTGTCGTAGTTGTTCAGTGAGATACGTATATACCTAGATAAGCTCAAATCTATGGGTGACTACTAGACTAAGATATATTCGATTTCTTTTGAACGAAGATTGCCACATTTGATGATAAGAGGAACGTTCAAAATATTCCATCCATATTGCAATTGTGAACGTTGACGCACGCCACAGTAAACGAAATTTACGATTTACTGCCAGCGAACTAGATGAACAGGCTTAACAGGTAGAGATTCCCAGCTACTTCCAAGATCGGCCTCTGATCTCGTCGCCTCCATTGATCCGATCGTCGTAATCCTTTGCAATACATACTTAGACACTGTAAGAATCCTCCTCGAGCAATAAGAAACCAGAGTCCGTTTAGGGACTTTTTTCTGTACTAATTAAGCGTGCATATGCTACTAGGTATATGCATATTGAGAGGGGAGAGGGGAGCGTCCTTGGCTCGCATTGCGTCCAAAATGTACTGCACCAGAACCGGAAAGAACGCCTGCAGCTGTGGCTTGGAACGGATTAGATCGCAATGGCATCTGCAACTCAAGTTCACGATGATCCGCCAATTGCGTAGGATGTAGATATGAAGTAATGTCGAAGCGGTATGCATGTTACAGTAGTGTCTGCTTATTGTGGTCTGCTGAGAATATAGTTCAAGGCATAGATTAAGTGAGTATAGAGGCAGGATTGGAAATTATTAGTAAGATATGATGTATGAAGATGCAGGTCACCGTTTACATTTACATTAACGCGACCTTCACGCAGTCGTTTAAAGATTTAATAAGACATGCATGAGGCTGTTGAGTGAACTATATTTAAGCTTAAAATGCACTGTTAGTACGACGTCTACATCATATCCTGACTAACGCAAAATCAGTCAAGTAAAACAACGCCCATAAAGCGAGTCCACTTACGGTTTGCTATGAATTCACTTTGGTTTAGGGAGAGGTATTCGTCTAAGCTAGCTTCCTAGATATTTCACGCTTATTTGATTTGCCAAGATGCCCACTACTAATAAATACATACATCCCTTAATCAGCAAGCATAAATCATTTTCACACTTTGGGTCATGAGAAGGAATTATTAAAAGAAGTAAATCAATGTATCGCGCCGTTATACCTATCGAGGGTCCAGCCTGCTCTATAGCCCAGGCTGCATGTCTAATGTCCCAATTCCTTGATGACGCAAAAGCGCAACCAGAAAATCCAAGCGCCGCAAGCCACCATGATGCAATGCTCAGCTAGTTGAAAAAATTAGGTGGTACTAAACCGGTAATGTCATCCAGCCCATTGCACCATAGCCGTTGATTGAGATGCCTAGAAGAAGGCAAAGACGGCGCCGAATACGGCAACGAGGAAGGTGGCACCCATGGTGAGTGATGAAGCACCGCTGCCAGGGACGACAGACTGCGTAGCAGCACCGCCCTCGGCCCCAGTCTCGGTGGGAGTGTTAGAGCCAGAGGCTGAGCTAGAGGTGGATCCAGAGTCAGATCCAGATCCAGCGCCAGCAGAAGAAGTGGGCGAGACGACGCCGGTGGATGAAGCATCAGAGCCAGACGTAGCGGTGGATGTTTGCTTAGTGGCGGTACCGGTGGAAGTACCGGCAGACGAGGAAGTCGAGCTGGGCGTGTCGAAGGTATCAGGGCAGGTCAGGTTGAAGCGGGGCGTAGTAGACAGGTTGTTAGTAATAGCAAAACTCTGCTTGTTGGCTCCGTTCGAATCCCGAAGGTTGTACCAGAAAGTTGGGGTCTTGTTGAAGAGGCGGCGGCAACCAACTTCCTGCCAGTAGTACTCGGCATTATCCACGCTGGCGACAGCATCACCCCACTTGATGCCAGTGTAGGGGTAACCAGTCTCAGTCACCCAGACAGGCTTGCCACCAGCGGCGGCGATGGTGGCATCGTAGGCCTTGTCGAACAAGGTACCAGAGTTCTTGATGGTGTTATCCTTGCCGCTCTCGTAGTAGGGGTACTCATCGACACCAATCCAATCAACGGCGTCAATAACAGCCTTGTTGGTGCCGTTGGTCCAGGAATCCCAAGTATCGACATGGCCGATAGGGACATCGGAGATGGTAGAGTCGGCAAACTCGGCCTTGAACTCTTTGATGAATTTGATGATGACATCAGGACCGGCACCAACTCCCTCGGGATCGTTCTTTAGTCCAGTAACGGAAATACGGTACAAGTCCTCGCTGCCAATTGAGACACCGATGATCAGGTCTGAGAGCTTCTTGCCGTACTTGCTCAGGGCGCTCTTCAGGGCTGTCACCTCGTTATCGATGCTGTCGGTACCTGAGGTCCACACACCAAGCAGGATCTTAGTCTTAGTCTCCACAGCGGCATCGAAGGCCTGAATAGGGTCGTTCGTGGAATAGGCTTGGACGTTGGTGTACAGTCTCACGGCGTCGAATTTGCCGGGAGCTCCCTCGAGGCCCTGGGCGGTGGTGAACTCGGCAAGGAAATCCTCCTTGAACTTGGCAGAGTTGTCGGGCTTGGTGGCTCCCGAGTTGAAGCCCAGGTAGTTCTCAGCGGCAGCGCCGAGGGTGGCGAAAGCGCCGGCAGCGAGGGCAGAGGTCGTCGAGACACGCATGGTGATTTCGATGTTTGTCAATCGGGGAAGTCGGATACAGAAACAGAGGGCTGGACAAGGGAGCGGATGTCGAGGACCTGATAAGTGCGCGTATAGTTATGTTGTAGTATCTAATGAAGGACAATAGAAGCGAGTGTGGTGGCGATATGATGCCGTAATGGTTCTTCAAGGAAAGACTGTGCCGTAGGACAAGCACGCAAAATGTGTTTCAGAGGGAGAAGAAAGGATTGTTAACACGAAGATTCAATACGACGAGGCCTTGTTTTGCAAACACAAGCTAGCGCGAGCAAACAGCCCATGGGTTACCTAATGGCACGCCTGGGTCCCGCTGAGTCCCCGCCTAAGCCGCCTACGCCGCCCTAACTACAGCCTAAACGTAGCCTAACCATAGCCTACCCACAGCAGGGCCTCCAGTTCTGTCCAGTTCTGTCCAGGTACGAGATTTTAAGGGGGTGGCTGCCTCTGATCCTTACCCATCCGCCAATCCTAGCGCCAGTTGAGATCCATAATAGGGACTGAATAGTGGCCCATCTTGTGATCTACAGCGCACTATGACCTACTTCGTTCAATGAAGATTCATTCGCTATAAGGAGAGATCAAACTTGCCATGTAAAGGGCAAGATGTTTATACATACTTATAGTAGTACTTAGATACAGCTATCAAATTCAAGAGAGAATTCGTTTCCATGAAATTAAGTACATGTGTAATCATGTTAGTTTGCGTCTGCTTTACCGAGTACCATTGACCCCTGTCCGACGTAACGTACACACGCGTTTACCATCTCACATGTGTACTGTACGTCAAAGGTATTATTAGAACCAACTGGTAAAGCGGGAGCATGAATAAAAGTTGGCCAAGACCCCTGCAGGACTGGAGATTCCTAAGCATCCTGAGAATGCAATACGTGTACTACCTACATAGGTAGGTAGCCGGGTCTCGCCGTGCCGTTTCGTATCCGCAGAATACATACATGTAAGTAAGTAAGTAAGTAAGTATATCCGAGTTAAGTGAGGAGCCCAAACAGGAATATCCTTGAAGGAAGGGTGAAGATGTTGGCTTATCTGCATTATTTGCCTGGTAGCACTGTGTACCGTATATGTAAGTATCGCGTAACCTTTAGTACTGACGCTGACTTCACCAGTACTGCGAGTTCGTTAACCTAGTCGAGATGCGCTCGAAGTGAGGTGAGGTGACTGGAAAGTCTGGTTGCTCTCTTGTATTCTCCTCATTATTTGGTATGGCTATGCCTGGCAGCCTCGAAGCCGCTTAACTCATCGAAGAAGCCTGTCCATCGAGATGCTTTCTGTCACTTAACCATCGTTGTCAAGCTTATCTGGATTCGAAATTTTCGTCTCTATACACCAACTTCGTCGTAATCATAAATCTTCCTTCCTTCGAAAACTTCATGTGGTATATTAGCCTGATACCATCCATATTACCATAGGGTACTTCATTCCAATACACACCCTCTCGTTTCAATGGGCGGGTGAAGTAGCCTAATCCAAGGTCAAAGGTAGGCTCACAAGGCTGCCGCTCAGCATCCTTGTGAAATCCCACGACCGCTGTTATTGCTTCTATACGCGGAAGCAAGAGCTCTGTTAGAGGAGGACGGGATGCTCAGGACGATCTAGAAGAAGAAAATCAACATACAGGCTCAATCTTTGGCCAGCCCGTATTATCAAAGTAACTCAGAGGGCTAGTCTCTCGTTGCAAGGCGCAAGTTAAACACCATCAATCAATCAATCAATCAGTTGCAAGGCGCAACAAGCTCCAATTTTTCTGCCATCGTCAGTAACCAAATGAAATATCATCAACTTACCTAATGGAATGTTATGGCGACGTGAAAGTGGTCTGTAATGGGCCCACGATATCATTTTGGTGATGCTAGTTTCAGTAAATGTCTGTCCATCTGGCCTACCAGAAACCAATCCGTTGGGGCTGTTCTTGCCCATCGTTCGTTAGCCTATTGTTCAACCTCTGATATTCATTTCATATCGCCATTATGTCAGCTTTATACCTTCGAAAGCTTGAGTCGAGGCAGCTCGGCTAGGTACTTCTCTGTATCAAAAGGTTGTAATGAAGCCGATAAGTTCAGCCGAAACTCTTCGTTACGAGGTCAATAATCCCCTTGGGTTTTCTGGATAGTTCTTCGATGTTAGAAAAGCGACACTAGATCACTGAATTAGCCAGAATTAGTGAGCGAATTGCTAAAGGGGAAGAATGAATTATAAGTAGCTAACAACATGGAAGCATATCGTGATGATCATGTCTAGATTGCTTTTCTGTAATACGTTATCAGGGGTTGGTGTCCTGGAGTGAGTAGAAGCTAGTCACAGTCAAGTAGGTAGGCAGAAGGATAGTATAGGGCTCAATAGTCATTGATTCCTGAACCTCTGAACTCTTCAAGGGGTCCTGGCACCCCTTTATATAGCCAGAAGGTCTAATTTAGCCACCCCTAGGGTCTATACGACTGTATGCCCCTGATATGGGTGTAGGATTTGTTTAGAGAGTGCGACAACGACTTGTCGGTATAGCAGGGAGTATGCGCTACATACAAACTGACGAAGGAGGAGAGGCTATAGACATTAGACTGCGATAGTTAAAAACATCAATGAAGCATAATGCTGTCATGAAACGAAAGTAAACAAGAGTAAGAGAATCTCGTCGATAGCCTTGCAGCCCTCAATGCTTATAACATGGGATCGGCTGTTATCACGATTTGATCTTACCATCCATCGACGGGAGCAATGCGCATCATGTTGTCCTCGTCCATACGAACAGTGCCCTTGTTTCGCCAACTTTCAAACCTTTCTAGCATTGCTTTTAGACGAGCTACATGGGCAGGAGTCGAGGCACAGATATGTACGCCGTCTCTTATTTTCACAGGTCGGCCGTTGTGCTCCTGGCATTGTCTTTCATACGCTTATGCCTGGACGTTGTTTTAGAACATTGGCTTTGGTGAGCACTCGTGCCTGGGGATAGTATTGGACAACGAGGGCGTATCTTTTTTTCTTTTGAAGGGGGCAATTATGAGGTCGCCTAGGGACGCTGTCCCGAGATGGTATTGTGAGATAGGATTGTAGTGAATTACATCAACTTTCTTTAGATTCGTATAGCAACGTAATGAGTGTACTCATCTTGATCACGTCTATCCGACGCATGAGAGACTCAAACTTAAAATTTTGATTGAGTGACATTGATGAGCAGGAAGATTGGCCCTTCGACCTTGCTATTCGCTCTGTGGACGCCCTCCAGGATTTAAGGACCCTGGATAGTGATGGTATTTTATGAATATACGAACCTATGGTATAAAAGGATTCAAACACTTGAGTTGAAGATGACTCGCGATGCACTTGTACCAGCTCTCAAGCGTGTTGTTATATGTATGTAAATAGAAGGGTCTAGTTGCAGGATCATATCTCCATGACACTGAAAGTCACCTGTCACCTTAATTGATATCGCTTCAGCATGGTTTTCATTACTACTAGGTGCTCATCCGAATCATTATAGCGCCTTTCAGTCAACCCTTCTTAAGCGGATGAAGACTCCAGACTTACAATTCTTAACTAGTTGCCTCAGTAGTTACTCATAGCTCACGCCTTTTTAAATATTTAGGTTTTAAGATAGAACAATAAACGGCTTTGAGCATCTCATGTGAGATACAGTACGCACTCACATTCACGATGAAATAAAGCTACCATAACCAAACATTGTGTAAGTCCAGAATTACTTTGAAACCACACGTGTTTGCCCGGAATCTAGTAGAGATAGTGGACATCAATCTATAATGCCCAGCCCTTTAAAAGAGAATTATGGTACGCTGCCCCAAAACAGTAGGTACAGACGGGGTCGAGGCTATTGAGCAGGGTGACACTATTCGGCACATGCATGGATGCGTACCTTAGACTCACCCACTACTCGCAAGCTACCCCAGTATTTGGGGATAGCTTCTGATACGACTTTGCCAGTTGACAGTCCTACCGTATCTACCGACTAATTAACCCCGATGAAGCCGACCCGGGCCTCAAGTTTCGATATTGAAAGCTGTGAAGCCACATGCTCAAATCTCGGACAGCAGGTCACGCAAGCAAATATCGTCACGAAAATGTCAACTTCGCTGCTATAGATCGCCAGCTCTCCATTGGTATAGCGAGTAATTATTACCCCATACTAGATGGATGCTCTCGTGAGATTTTAATTAGGGCAAACATATGCCAAACATCGTAGTGTTACCATACATCACCTCACGAAGGTATGATATGCGGTGCATCTAATGTAAGGGCACTACATCAAGATGATCCCTGATTGCAAGGCCCAGGGCCTCGAATCTCGAGAAGAACCGCACCACGCCCCAAGATTTAGGGGTGTCTGAATTGTAATCTTAGCTACTTCCTTAGTCTCGCTCTGTAGGAGGTATAGTAAGTGAGTATGTATATGTAAGCCATGATCTTTGGCCCGCCACGTCAGAACAAAGGTAATCTCAGGTATTAATAGCAGCAACCACTTGACGATGCCTATTGCTAATGCTGTTGCTGTGAGGACCTACCACACAAGCCTTTCTGTTGCGCTGGCAGACAGCACGAAGCGTGACCCCTAGCTCAGTCATATGGTATGGCGGTCATGGCGAAGTGCACGGAAAATAAGTTATATCTAAAAACAAATAGATAAATGGATTAATGAATTATTTGCTGTAATATTTATGTGCCATGTGCCTAGCATTTGATTAATTTATTGGATCGATGTGTTATCTCGCCCTCGGGAGGGGCGCGCGAATCGGAGACCCCCTAATACGCCTAGGTTAGAAGCATGCAGTGGTGCAGCGCGTGTAAGTATACCACATAGATAGCTACCGGCCCTGAATTCCTGTCATGCTGGGTAGGTAGGTATGTGGCAATGGCGTAGATACGAGACTTGGTAACCCGCTGCATTACTGTGTATTACTCTGTATACCGGATGTCCTGACCGAGTCGATTGGCCGATTTGCAATTATTAGCATTGGTGGATACTGTTGTCTTGTATCACGATGAGGGGTAGGGCAAAGAGCCGGAGTGGCACGTAGGTCTTCCCGGGAGGTAAATTATCTCGTAACTGACGAGGCTCGGTTATACAGTCGTGAGTAGGGGAGACCAGCAGGTCGGGATTCCGGGGTCCCAGGGTGCACACCGAGGGCAGGAAGTGGAAATAGAAGATAATAAATAATAAACGTAATTATCGACTTATTTTCCATGTCCTTGTTTTCTTCTGTTCGACATGTATACATCACTAAATGTAGTGCTTTCCCTTTTCCAGCTGGCGCAATATTGAAACTTCACCCTCCATCACGAAATAGTCCTGAGCCAACTGGCCGGAACCAGGCACAAGATGTCGACTTGTGTCAGAAGGGACAACCCCTGCGCGTCTCCAAGAGAGCCAGCAAACCAGGCGTCGGCGACTATTTCGCCGCTTTTGGAAACTGTTTGAGTGCGCGGTTACCGTTGTCCAGGCGTTTTAGGACAGGCCCTCTGCCTCCTTCTGCTACCAAAAGAGCAGCTTTGACTCACATGAACACCCTACGTTGCTTAGGGCCCGGCGGGCAGCAGCCCGAGAGAGGTAGCAGAGAGCCCACGGGTTTGTCGTTTGTCGCTGGAGGACTGCCAACACATCATAGTCGATGTCCGAGTTCGTCACATGTCTTGTAACAACAGGGCTCATCCCAGGACGAAGGAGGGTAGAAATAAGGCACGGCTTGCTTCCCCCACCCCCGCCTGTACACCCCCAATTCTGGTAGGTTACCATGGCTTCTGGGGGTGGTTGAGGCGATTCGCCCGCTTTGGTCGAGTCCCCTACCTTGGCGCACGGCAGATGCCCACTGCGTTATTTAAGCTGCCTCTCACCGCCCAGCGGCCTGCAGCAGGTTCGTGGTCATCTGCCCGCCAAATGCTGAGCTGGCAGACCACCATGTCCGTCAGTTGTCTCCAAAAGGAATATCCCACTGAGGCGCAACTAACAACACGCGGATGGTGGAAATAGCAGAGATGGAAGGGCTCAAATAAAATAAAATGAATGATAAATTCGATAAAAAGAAATGGAGAAAAATATTTGATTAACATCCAGAGCATCTACTGACTGGACCGCGCGTGGCATATATTCTGGCCTGTAGCAATGCAATACCGTAAGCCTATCAGATTACGCGTACAGATAGATCAATTTACTTCACATGGCGCATTCCAGCCGTCTATACAGTCACTGTTAAGAGAATGCTGTTCTCTCGATAAGCGGCATGGAATTTTCATCGAGAACTGTACTATTAGTGTTCAGAGCGCACTTGTCAGTAAGAATTGTGTCCGTTCGACTTACAATTCTTTTTCGTTCGATGAGAAGAGTACCTAGCTCCCTTTGTACCGGGGGATTTTCCAGATCCCCGACTGGCTTACCAACAGTCTTTGGGATACCTACAGTACTATCGTGACCCCCAAAGAGGCTGAAGTGGGCTTCCATGGTGTAACCTGCATGGGACACTCAGTCTCAAGTTACCGAGCTGAACACGCAATGCACCCGTTGTATCTACCCTCTATTCAGGCAACCTTCGGCTCGCGTGATGGAGATGGTCGAATCAAGCACTAGCTGCTTTACTCAAGGAGTCACGCAACTCATATTGGAGTCCCGAAAGCCCTGATGCATAAATATTGGCCCGAACTTTGAGTGATTGTGGATTTTCTATCATTTAGACGACAGGACGCTAGCTAGACGGCAGTTAAAAACAAGATCCGACGAGCCACAGACTTAGATAGTCTTGTTCTAGATGGGGTTCACGGGTTGCACTTGCTCCGTGGGATGCGAAGTCCAAGGCTCTTTGAAAATTTATTGACTGTCGTAGAAATGGGATTCCCGGGAAGGGAAGTAGAGGGCTTGTCGCCGAGGTTGGCACGGAGGCTGGCGGCGGTTTTGATCACGGGGTGCAGAGCCGTCGGATATTTATAGCGACAATTGCAAATCGTCTTGCACGGACGATGATACTACAAAAAGAGCAGCGAATGCACCACTGGGGTGGCGGAGATGTTAATAATCCGGCGAGGTCGCAATGTAAAGCCGTCCCAGCCTGAGGTTGTCCCCGGTCCGTCTCAGGCGAGACGGGAGAGGTAGAGCGTAATCTGGATAAAATGCGCTTCCACGTTGCGTCGACATGGACAAGTTTCGAAGCGAGCCTGAGAATTTGTCAATTCTACCACCTGCCCCATAGCCTTACTGTGATGCTGTTACCTAGCAATCCGGGGATAAGCAAGATGTGAAGCGTATGAAGAGACTTGAATAAAGACCGTAACACTTTGACTGTACGTCAAGGTTTCAATACCAAATCTTTACCTGGCCGCCTATCTACAAGGCACTGTAGGTAAGTAGGCAATGACGCAAGCGGCCCCAGCCACGGGGCTGCTCAATGGTAAGTGGCAAGATCGGAGAATGGGTGGTAGACTTGGAAGTATTGAATCCTTAAATGAGGCTGCCGAGAAGATTACCAGGGTAAAGAGTACGAGTATTGTCATATGGTAAGATAGAACAGATGCGATGATGCTGCGCGCACCAGAGAACAGAAAAGAGAAAGGGTTTGCGCACGTGCCACCGATTACTTACCTACTTACAGAGAGAGTGGCCCGCCAACGCCACTTCCAATAGCGGAGAGCTACACTAAAGCAGAAGCTAGGAATAGCTTCAATGAATCATATCTCATCATCTCTGATCCATCCTAGGTTGAGTCACTACGATGGCTTCTATCGCCTGCGATTGCTTGCAACACTGCAACGCTGCGCAAATGCCCATCTAATTACATATTCAGTCAAATTAATATTTAGACGCTTCTGAATATCCAAGGTTCGCTCAACAAGCGTAGCTTCTTGTACCTCCGAGACCTCCTACTTCTTCGCATGGTTATCGACGCCACCCATACACTCAAGAGGCCAATCAGTGGATTCAATCTGGACCGTTCAAACGAAATTTTCTTGACCACAGCTCCTCACAACAAGATCGATATGATCTCAACAAAGCATAGTAACCGCGAATCTATCGATGGTCGGCAGGCTACAGCTGAGGCACCGTCAAGTCGCGTCGTCGAAAAGCCTATCCCAGCCTCTCAGCACAGGGATCCACGGAAGTATCAGTTAGATCAGATCAAAAGGCGATTTTCACCCACGTTAGGCACTCTACGGAATGGAACAACAACCGCTCGGTTTCACCTGAAACCTTCTGATCCTGATTTCCCCTTCGAACTAGAACGCCTAGATTGCGAGCTGCAGGTACCTGCTGCTTATCCACAAGAGCCGCCAACGTTGTTGGTGAAGAACCAAGACATTCCCCGCGGCTTCTGTGTGAACATAGAGCGAGGATGGGACAAACTCGTTTCGGACAGACACAATGCGACTTTACTCGCTCTTGTCACTGCATTAGACAAGAATCTCGAGGCCTTTCTATCAGAACAGAAGGCGGAAACGGTCACACTAGTATCATTCAAGGACACGCGACATTTGGAACATGCGACGACGTCTTTAGGAGGAGAGGTATCAGCCCTGATTTCACAAGTGGCTCCTTTGAAGTCGCCGACCCCACCGCAGAAGACTTATGTGCCTGAAGAGTCTTTTACCGGAGAGCAGATTGCCGGTGCCAAAGCCAGGAGAGCCCAAGAAATTCGACAACTTGAGGCACGAATGGGACGCATCGCACTTTATCAGAAATCTGCTGATGGTGTTGTTTATACTATACCCCTCGAGCCAAGGCGACGGACGGAACTACCTCAGGGGCTACAGTCCATCAAATCAGTGCAGCTGATAATCCCTCTACTCTACCCCCTTCAGGCATTGCGAATCTTGCTTAACGATGTCGAGTCACAAGATGCGGAACCATTGGAAGAGGCCTTTGCAACAAGGGTCGTCCAGCAGAAACACATGACGTTGATGAACCACCTGAACTACCTATCGCAAAATATGCACACCATGGCAAAACAAGCTCAAGTTACTAAATCCACACAGTTGGTACCAGAATCAAGCCTTATGGCTAATGGCCAAACATCAAAGGTCCCTGAAATTGAGGAGTCCTCTGCTTTAGATCGTGCCGATGCAAAGGGACATATTCATATCATACCACGTCCGCCAGAATGGAGTCGTGTGCCCGAATCAGATGACTCAAATTCAGACTCGGACTTTTGGGGCTCGAGCGAAGACTCTGAAGAAGGAGGTGCCGACATAGAATTACAACAACCCCGTGTCTCTGGTGCTGCTCAGCAGGTAGAAAGGGGCACTGCAATATCATTCCCTACTGTCGAGCTATACGGCATCGAGCTTCTTCAGGTATCGATCTTAAACATTAGCAGCAAGTGTCAACGGTGTAAAACCCTGAATGACATCACTAGTCTCAAGCCCGGGGCGGAAAAGGCGATCAATTGTAGGAAATGTGGCTCGCCGGCGACCGCCATGTTCCGGCAAGAAATGGTACACCAGAACTCGTCAAGGGCTGGCTTCATCGACGTAACCGGATGCACGGTTGCAGATATGCTGCCAAGCACTTTCGTGCCTACATGCTCGAAGTGCTCGACGCCGAGCCAGGGGCTTGTGTCCGTCCGAGGTGAGGCCGTCACAAACGTATGCCGAGAGTGCCACGGCCGCTTCACCTTCAAGATACCCCAAGTCAAATTCCTTGCTATCACGGCTGGATCTGCGCTCCCACCTGCACTCGGGCCGCGACGAAGACAAGAGAAGCTAGGCCTACACGCCGGTGAGCCATTGCCTGGCAGAGGAGCGTGCCAACACTACCGACGGTCGTATAGATGGTTTCGCTTCTCATGCTGTAGCAAAGTCCACCCGTGCGACAAGTGCCATGATGAGAATGAAGATCATATTCAGGAATGGGCCAATCGCATGATATGCGGTTGGTGCAGCAGAGAACAGAACTACGCTGTCGAGGCTTGCACTTTCTGCGGACGTTCTGTTATCGGGAAGAAGGGAAGGGGATTCTGGGAGGGTGGCAAGGGCACACGCGATAAAGTAAAGATGAGCCGTAAAGACAAGAGGAAGTTTCGCCGGGTCGGCGGGGGTGAAGCGAAGAAGAAGGACTAGATTAACAGTGATGCAATTTGTTCGGTCACAGAACTTGTTGTAAGATGAAGACTATTGATCCTTGTTGTAGGATATACTTCACACTTGATTTATGCGTACGTCAAATACCCGGAGATGAGTGGATGCCATAATAGCATGCTAAACATTGAGTTTCCCGCAAAACTTTTGCCATCTAGCTACCTTCAAGTTGGTTTGCGTCTCGTTTGACACCACAGCTCCCTAAGCTTCTATTATTGTGAATGTAAATTCGCTGCGCCTGCTCGCCTGCCTAGATACTCGACTTGACTAGGAAGAATCAAGTGTCCATGATTAAGCACATAATATAATGATGCCATTCTAATGACCGAGGGAACAATAAATAGCTACGTGTGGCCATGAGAGAGAGAACCTGGACAAGTCTAGGGACACACCCCTTTGGGTCTTAATCACCCTGTATCAAACACACCGCGACACAATAACAGCAGCAAGGCTTCGGAGAATAAAAAATGTACCTGCATTGTCTAGCTCCCGCGTTTCGCGCAAGAATTAAATCTACCTTGTGTACTTGATTACCTGATACAACTATGTGTAACTCATAGAGACACCCTCCCTAGTTTCTTGACAGACGAACGCACCCATTCTCATTTTTCCATTCCATTCTCGCACAGGTGGACACCCCGGCACCGAGATGCCATATCGATCTCAAATGAGGAAAGCCCACTGATCAGGTAGCAATACCTACTTGGCCATGGCACTCGATCACTGCGGCATGGTGCCGCCTGTCGTTCGCGCGCGCAAATGGTTACCGCGCATTAAGCGCCGGACCAAGCACCCGTGACCTCGCGGCAATCAATCACTTGACCGGGCTGTTTGGCGTCTAATCCGACCTGTGCACAGGTATACGTGTCCGCCTCACTGGGACGAGTTGTTTCAGTTGGCAATTAGTTTGTTTCTGAGCGAGTTCGGAGGTGTTAAGTCGTCATATTAATTCATATTCGATGTGCGTATCGTGGGCTGTTGGCCACGCCTTGGCAATGTATGAGCCACGGTAGAGCTTTTCGTGGAGGCGTGCTTTTCCATTGTATGCATGTAGTACTGAGCCAGGAGTTCCATGGATTTATCATTACCTTACTGCCTAAAACATTAGGCATAGCATTGATGTCAATGAAGGCTTTTTTTTGTGCTAAATGAATATGATCTTGATTTTTCAGGGCCGGTCGCTCTGCTGGCTATGCTTTGACGCGCCAGAAAGCCCCGAGTTCCCAGCCAAGATATGAGTGTAGTACATTAGGAATGCCAACGGAGAATTGGGCATCAAACGACGAAACCGCAATACCTAAGTTCTCCATACAACATGATACTGATGTACACGGAAGCGTGATATAGGTACATTACTTATAGAAGATAGTGGTTGTAGAAGGTATCCAGGGTTCTTGCACAAGGATCCGATGAGGATGTTGTGATGTTGCTCTCACTGATTGGCGCATCGGAATCTCAAGCAAACCCAAGCTACCACGTGGGATTGGTGTTCCAACGTTACATAACCAGGATTCGTGGGAAAGGCTGGGGATTGAAGAGGCATTCACTTACTATGTAATAGGTACTCATGGGAACAATCATCTAGTGTATTATTATATTGATAGCCTTCGGTGCTGACGACTAAGTTTGGTGTCTGGGGTTCTGCGATAGGCAGGTCTCAAACGCTGTTATCACTATGGGCACATGTCAAGTCCAGATCTCTTGGGGCATGGGGGTCAAAGACGAGATACAGAACCCTGCTGCTACCCATACTATGTAGATTACCAAGTTGCCCAATGAAGTTCTTAGGCTTACGCACTTTCGAGTAAGACATATTCTATCCACATAGCGGATTTGGCCGTAGGTATCGAACCTGAGGCTTCCAAAACCAACGGATCACCTCACAACACACTAAGGTTGCAGGCTTCCAGTCACCGGGTACATAGTATGATTGTCCATTGTGCGAGTATCATATTTGATTTTCCGCCCTTTCAGGCTCACCGACATCGCTTGGAACAGATGGTCCCAATTCCAAGGATCTGGGAAGTACAACACGCCTTCTGGGCAATCGTACCACGTGGAAGATGTGTGTAACTCATATCCTGGTCTACATATACACTAGCAGTTACAGTAAACATGGCACCAGCGGTATTCTGAAATGTACTTATCCTATGTGTGAAAATTTAGACGTAGAAGATTCAACAGACGTCTTAACCACCTTTAGTCGTAGGAATAGAATTCACCCGTTGACGCTAAGCCACTTTATCTCCAGAATACGCCATGATCTCGTGACCCTCGCTGTCGGTTGAAATGTATAGGTAGGTATCCATAGCACAAACCACGCTTGGTGATTCTTGAGTATAGCTTAGCTAGTGAAGATTATTTATATTGTCATGGTTTATGGAGTTATCCGCCGAAGAAAAGCCCGCAGGAAGGAAATCATCGATAGACAAGGCACGCTAGAAGCTTTAGAAGCTTTAGAACGAATCCATGGCGTGATTTTACGTTGGGGGGCCGACCTGCTTCTCTCACCGCATTCAACATCAATGCATCTACAACTGCAAAAACGGTAGCTTTGAATTGTCTGTGTAAAATGTCCACGCGCGCATTAAGTATATACCCAGTCCCGGTCTGTACGCCATTTTCAGATGCCTATGCATTGCGTTAATATTGCACTACACTCATTAAAGACACTCCGGACGACCGGGCTTGCTAGGCACACCTCATTTCCCACGTGGCTATTGTACAGTAGTGAAAAGTATCTGATGTAGTGTGGCTGAGACCTTCACCTATCGCATCAGCGAAAGCAATCTTCGCTGATGAGATTTCTGTCAACAATTTCGCATTGAAGATGCTTGAAAGTCCAAGGAGCAATCCATATGATTTCGGTTTACTTTACGCATATTGTGTTTGATCGAGGCTGGCTTGATATTCTGGACTGAAGCTATGTTTGGTGGTTCAACCCAGATATTTATCATTACTAATAATAGACAGCATTTTGTCATGCTTAAACGGCTCCTTGCTCGTGTAAAGCATGAAGCCTGTAATAATAAAACAAAGTAAACGTGCAAACGTGTAAACGTGCACTAAAAGTAAGGTAAAATAATTTTGATTTTATCTTTTATTTTTATTTTCTGTATTTATCCTACTGCTCCCTCCATCCCTGTCATCTTCAAAGGTGGTGTTCATCATCAATGAGACTTGATGAGTATTTACTAAGGAGTGGCTTACCTTAGCGTTCAAAGCTATCTTGGCTAATATACCGGATCAATCCCGTTCTTGCTCATGATGATGCTATGTGCAAACTGTAGTGTGCTGTAATTGTCGCCGCCTAGTGTACGGTACCGGTAGTTCACGAGACTTCTCAACGCATCACCAATTCTGACCTGAGAACTGCCCATAGTTAGTAGTAATCAGGGACGGCAGGGGTTGACCTCGCTACTCTACACTAGATCTGGAAAAATGCGCTCAAGTCATGTGCAGCCGGAAGCCTCATCCGGGACGCATCCTGAGCCCGCTAATTTGGTAAATCGGGCTCCCCTGGCGTTGGACGTCGCACTTGTCATGGGTACCTAACGCTACGATAAAGTGCGGTAATCTTGGCAGTCCGATGGGTTAGAATAGTTTTGTGAGAGCTGCATGTCGTTTGACAGCCTTGGCAATTTCCCAGACGGGTAAAGATATTCGAGATTTAGATGATTCAGTCGTTGATATTGAAGTGGAAGCGGAGGCAGAAGCAGAGGTACCCAGAAAGCCGCGGCGCTCATAGCTGATATACGCATAGTTATAACCTTCCTGGAAGTTAGAGACTACGGACCTGCAATTTTAGAAAATCATGAAGTGTGTATACGTAGTATACTATGAAACGGCGTGATACATGATTGATTCCCTGCCTGCATTGCTAAGCCAGATGCCTAATTAGACTCCTTTTGACCGGGATGTCCAAACGCAGTATTGCCAAGATCCAACTATAAGTTACCGGGACAGCAATATAAACAGCAAGTGCAGCTTACTAAGGTGTAGGTAAGGTACTAAGTAGTTGGATTAGGTTTACAGGAAATTCGAGTCACCGGGACGATAGTAGTGACTACCAGGGAGGAATCCTAGAATAAGCTCTCTAAAAGTATTGCCTGATCTTTCCAGGAAATTGTCAAGTCCCTGCGACAATGCAATACTCTTTTCCCAAAGTCGACGATGTTACCGTAGCATCCGTCAACGGGAACCCGAGATGGCGGATCTGGGGATGAAATTAGCTCGTCGTCAAACCCGGCAAGATTCGTCTTTAGCTTCAGCAATTATTCGCAATTATAGTATGTAGGTAGGACCAAACCGGTATTCCCCGGCTCTCGCCCCAAGGGCATCCAGCTGTCCTGTCTCTTCATCCCAACCATACTGCGATCAGCCAGCTCAGCGAAACAAGTAGGTATTACAGGGTAGCCACGTGTGCGCTTCAGCTGCTGTGCTACACAGCCAACTGTCTGTCACTTTTCAAGAAAAGATAAGATGAAACTATCATCTGCAGTACTGTCGGGCGCATCCCACTCAAACCCAGCCTTCCGCGCCTTCCCGACGCCTCGTGTCTATATATGAGATGCATGCCTCAGCTCCAACCAAGTCAGGTGACTGTTCGAAGATGTCCCTCATGCGCCATGGCTGGACGGGATACCGGAGCCCAGTGAGCAGTCGATAAGCGATTTCTATTTCGTAGGGAGGTGTTGGAGTGCCCAGCCTTGAGACTATTGAATGTTGAGCCATCTGCAAGTCAGAGAGGCGTTACACGATATGCAAAATGTGTTAGGGCCAATGGCCGCCGTTATTTCTCTCAGCTGAGGTCGCGAAGACGTCATTCGACTAACTTCCTTGGAAAACACGAGCCCCTCCCCCCACACCCACCCGTAAGCTTGGCTCGTCTCCCCGCGCTACTCTCCAGATATACCGACATGGCAAGGAGAAAGCAAAACGAGACATCATGGACTGCATGTTCAAGCCACAAGTGCCATGACGACAGTAATCTTGGATAGATATAGTATAGTCGATCCTTGGGGCTGAAATCCTAAACAGCCGAGAAACATATCATATTTGAAATATTAGGCGATAAGGAGAGACACCTATCTGTTGTCTACGCCCGTTACAGCCTTCAATTACGTCATTTTTAATAAGTCGCCTATCACCATATTGATCACATACGCCCCGGACTGGCAGACATTGTAACGAGTCATCCAAGCCTGGCAACGGAATAGCCGCGGCAATGCCCGAAGAACCATCCAAGTCCGGTGCGGACGGGCCAGGCGATGGTGAGGCCGGCAACAAACGGCCCTCGACCAAGGAGAAGCTGCTGCAGGAAATCACACAGAAGATCGAGGAGTCGAAAGGTTTACAGCAGGAGTCGCTAGACCTTCACAAACGCGCGGATGAACTAGCCGAGAGCGATCCGAAACTCGCTGAGGACCTCCGGTCTAAGGCTCATGAGATCGACAAGAAGGCCACCAAGCTGCTCAAGACGGCGCGCCGTCTCGAGTCCGGATGGCTGCAAGGCGGTGCCGCGGGAGCTGGCATTGGCGCGGGTATTGCTACGGGATTGGGCATGACGGTGGGATCTCTCGTCAGCGGACTCGTCGCTATACCCACGACGGGGCTGGGCATCCTTATCGGGGCTGGTACGGGACTTGTCCATGGTCCTTGGGTCAAGTTCACTGAGGTCTTCACGAAGGATGAGGTCTCGGAGATAGATCGCGAAGCCGAGGAGGAGGCTGAGCGGATTGCGCAAGGCTGACGAGTTGCGGACTGAAGGGTTTTGTTTTGTTTTGATTTTGGTATGACAAGAGAGATTAGTAATCCGTCCGCAATGGTTCCTAAGTAGGCATTGTAACACATAACACCACTGATTAAGTTCAGGCGCTGGCAGGTCATAAGTCGTATTTAGCATTTTATATTGAGTATTTCCAACGCAGGTTCAAGTTTGTTTTCGGATTTAGGGATGCGCATAGCTCCGGACAACACATCTCGACGGAACACGTAACTTCCCACATTAAGGACTTCGTGATCTTCATGCATCATGGAATCCCGTTGAGGCTTCGTTTAGGGCTCGCAATGAGGCATGCAAGCGTGTTCATCATTGAAAGTTCAAGCTCGCCATCACGTAGAGCTTGCGCAGCATACATCTGAATGCCAAGTTACCTGTTATGAGCATAAAAAATGGACCATGATCAAGATATTGACACTTAGGTACACCGGGCTTATTGTTGTTGATGCCTTTGGGCGTGCATGCGCCTACAACTTCGACGCCGTGTCGTGGGGCCGCATCTACCCTCTCCCGCCCCGTGATGCCAACGCGGCTATCCAACTAGTCATCTAGCTCGGAGCCTCGCTTCCTATTGCCGCCAAGCTTCGTTCCGAGCGACGGACTGTTCCTCGCGATTGGACACCCTCCCGCCTCAGCTTAGGGAGTCGGTCCTTGCCCAGGTCGTAAACCTGCTAGATTGAGTCCTACATGCTTGTGTTTTGTTCGCGGCCACTATTTACTCGTCGTTGGACACGTGGAAATATGTTGGAGCCTAAGACTATGGATACGTAATGCCGGTAAGTAGAGTTCCTAAGCTGTGGGAAATAACAATCGAGTATGCATTTCCATTCAAATGTACAACAATGCTGCTAAAAGTGAAGGCTCCTGGAGGCAGCTACTTAGCACCTAAGTACTATCTGTCACCGTCCGCTTTGAGCTGTATGTATCTTCTCAGATGGCGTTCTAATGTAATACTTTAACACGTTCTAGGGCGGTAAGTTTTGATAATTCATTTGAAATATTATAAAAGTCATTTATCTGATTGATTATCCTCTGTCCTGGTATTCGGCCGTAGGCCTTGAAGCGTAGCCAGCGGAGACCGTTACCTGACAATAACTGAGTTTGATGAGGCAGAAGGCGGTAGGTATTCAGCTTACGTGACTTGAACATCTTACATAACCTGAGGTCCTGCCAGTTGAATATAATGTCGCCTTTGGCGGCTACTTATCAGCAGACCCCGTGTTTTCTCGGTGACCCAATCAGCTCATCTGCCTTGCTGTCAGATTTGCAGCGGTTTGCAGTGCACATGATACAAGTAGTAGGTGAGGAGGATTATGCTGTCAGACGGATTACGACGCCAGTCTGACCGGGCCTCATCCGCGGTCGGATGAGGCGCATTTCGCGAGGTCAGTCGCCCGCCACCATGATAATGACCCGGCTATAAGCCTCGTAGCCTAGTACTTTGAAGATCTACTAAGTAGACGTAGATGTATACCAAGTGCTACAGACTGCTTGACGTACTTACACCGCAATAAGAGTCTGTGCTTGAGGCTACCAATAGCAAGCTGCAGGGCATAATAGAGAAACGTCTGAGAGCAAATCCCGATTTTAATCTCCATGTCCATAGGCTTGCAGGGTTGAGTAGGCGATCGACGCGAAATCTAGCAGCTTATCGGTGCGATTCCATATCACTTTGCCTCTTACACATGCTTTGCAGTCGGCGCCGAGGTTGCGGTATCCTTAAATCCCCACTGTCGCCTCTTGGAACTTCCAGATCCTGTACACTACATTCGGCGTTTGAATTATCTGGCCCATGTTTGCGAGATGGTCTATAGGCACCCTTGTAGATAATTGATTACATCCATACACAGCGTAGTAGTAGGTAGCGTACGTTGGAGGGGAACAGAGAGCTCGGGCTCCAGTCTACACGTGGTCGGCGATATCGCGACGAAAAGGGGAAAAAACCCCCCCCAAAAACCACGGCCGTTTGGAGAACGAACACCTATTACAACGATATCGATACAGCTGAGACAAGTCATGTGGAATATCGAGGACCCTGCACCAACAGACAGAAAGAGGGTGTACTATATGTAGCTGTCATAGTAGTGTGGGGGACTGCTCTAAGTAATATTTCCTCACTTAAGACAGCAAAGTCTCCTGAGCCGGAGGTGTTGTTATACCTAGAGCCTCCTTCATCTCGCTTGACCGGGAGGTAGCCTCGCCATTGTCGTCATATTTCCGTTAATTTATGACGCAAGAGATATATACATACTTAGTATGTGAAAGGGGCGTCCCCAAAGCCGCGCTTAAGATTTTTGAGAAGCGAACCTCATTAAGTTGCTATGTAAGCGAGTAGGTAATTGTGAGGCCGCAGTGCCTCATCTTGCTATAGCAATCCCTGCAATATGACTAACAGACAATACTACCTACCTGGGTACTGTTGCAATCGTCGCAACCGTTTCAAACCGATCTCGCCAAATATCTACTTACGCCTTAAGGAGCCTGCACTAGGAAAACCTACCCTTACCACTCTCTAGCTTCGGCCATGAGTTCTACACTAAGCCACACATGTAGTGTACACTAGAAGGCCCGAAGAGCGGCTTGCCTATTATTTGTTGCGAGTCGTGTAAGTTCAATGGAATAAGATTAAATTGGCAATATGCATCTTGGCAATCCCGAGTCTTCTCTTAATGCTTATGCTTAGACGAGCATAATCTCACTTGCCGATTCTAGGTGCCGATGTGCGCCAAAATGGGTTTGGTGATGTCCGCATTAGGGAATAGTGGCTTGGACGTCAGACCTCACCCCCATACTCATCTGCCCCATAGTTTGCCCAGCCACAATAGCGGATGTGTCAGCCCCCACAGAGAGAAAGGGAACTGTTCTGGAAGCACGCTAGAACCATGTGGACCGCAGGGATCAAGACCGATCAACTAGGTACTTCGTACTATAAGTATGCGTGGGACCCCTGCGCGCTCGATTCGCGTACCGGGTACGGTTAGCGTCCGAGGCACTGTATATACAGTAGGTACCCCAAGCAGACAGGATCACGGATGATAATTATCAGTATTTTTCTTATGCTGCGTTATGACGATGAATTCATTCATAGCAAATTTTATCACTGCAAAGAGAGAAGAGGGGAACGATTTCGGTTCTGGGGAGGTATATAAAACAACAAGGCAGCGGGTAAGAATACCATACATGGACAAAACTGTTCCTAAGATAGGACACTGGGGCCGGTAGACTCCGACGCAAGCCCTCCGAATAGGACCGACTCCTATTAGCTTTCAAACTACTAACAAGCTTAACCTTATGCTAGGTAAGTACACGTATTTATTTATTTATTCATTGAACATGTATCTTTTAACTTCTTTATTTTTTAAATGACTCATAAAACTTCATTCATCCCTGTACAATCATTCTATGTATAGTGTCTATTCGTGTAACTATCACCCGTTGTATCTGCGTGATTGCACCATCTGCACACCAAACACGATTCTTCCCTTGGCGAAAACCATCTAGTATGTAGAATAAGTATACATATAGGTAGATACCACCACACTTATGTAAGAGTACGATTACTACATAGGGCTTCCACCGTTGCCCTACGTGTAATTTTCTTGTGCGCAACCACTTCAGCGGGCCGCCCACCACGGGAAACGCGGGGCACTATTTGGCGTTATTCCGACCCATTTTGGGAAATGTCAACAACAGCTACAACATCGTCATCAACGTAGGTTTACATCCGATACTTATTAAGCATACGATATACTTACAGGTAATCTATATGTGACATGGCAACGTAGAACCAAAACATGACAGCCATGTGACCTGAAGACTGGGCTTTTCTCCATATTCTCAGATATATGAAAAAATTGACTGATCTGCTACCTAGGTATCCCATCCGTTTCGATTTCCGCCTGAAGCGAACCCCGCCAATGCACCTTACCTACGGCGCATGTACATGCGCTTTAGTGGCAAACACGTCAAAGCAGACTGCAGGGCGTGATCACGACGTTTTATCTAGGTATTGTATGCACATTGTTGTATATCGGTAACGAGCCGGTCGGCAGTGCCCTAAGGTGAGAAGAGAGTAGTCTAAGAGCCACAAAAAAAAAAAAAAAAAAAAAAAAAAAAAAGGCGAGCCAAGCCGCCCGGGAGACGGTATGGTACTTACTACATGTACTGATCTAGCGAAAAGTCAATCTTCCTCTACCGTGATGGCTTCTTTTTCAATGTCTTTGCTACTGTGATTTCTCTTTCCCCTCTCTTTTTTCTTTTCTTTTTTCTTTCTGACTTTCCCCTCTTATTTCCCCTCCTTCGGCGTTATATGAGTCATCTAGATTAGGTTTTGTGAATCCAAGATTGGATTAGCTTTTTTAGACTTACCGTACATGGCATCCTTTTCAAGACAACATGGAACGGAGCTGATACAGGAAGGTAAGGTGGACAGAAACAGAAAGGGCGGTGAGCGATGATGCTGATGGCGATGACTGCGGCGACGATACTGACGCTGATAGTGGATGGATGGACGAGAAGAGGGCAGACAGCTCTCATGGTAGGTACCGTAGGTAGATAGATAGATAATCATGATCCATACAGATCAACACATGTCTCACGCACATGTACCATTTGTCTAGTCGCAACCGACGTTAAGGTGAGGGAGGGGCAGCGAGAAGAAGTCAGATGAATTCGGCACCGTTCTTGTAGAGGAGGGTAGACAACTCATCATGCGTTTCTACGAGCCTTTCCCTTTTCCTCTGATTACCACTTCACTTGACTTACCTGCTACCCGCTGGATGGGCCCCTACATATCTACGGCTGCATACATGCCAGCATCATCACGTACGTAGTATGAAACGTAGGTGGCTTTCAGACATGGCAGAATTTGCGTCTTCTTCTCCTCCCCCCCTCCTCCCCCTCGTCCTCGTCCTCACCTCGGACATCTAGGCTGTCAAGTAACCTGATCCGGCGTGCGATAAGAGACCCCCCCCCCCCTTCTGCATGTACACATTTTGCTACCTAGCCCTATCAACCTACCTACTGCGTACTACTACTACTAGGAGGGAGTGTTTTGGCGTCTGCATGGAAATCAGATCATTCGTTCCTTGCCGCATTGGACAAAGTGCTAGTAGATAGGTAGGTGAGTAGGTGAAATTACAAGCAAAGAGAGGCGTCAATCAATACCTAACCAAGGTATCACTATAATCTTTAATTGTAGTAGGTAGTGTTCTAGAGTGAATCAGCCAGCATACCTAAGGTAGGTGCTGTGCTGTATGTAGTAAGGCCAATGCCGTGCATCAGGTACCTGTAGGTACCTACCCACCCACCAACCTACCTGCAGCTGCACTACACCACAAGGCACAGGATGAAGCGTACATCGTACACACAAAGAGCCTGTCTTTGACAACGCAGCGACACCTTACTATTATCTCCAACACCCAAAAGAGTCTGCATAGATCTGGGTCATTGGATCACCATATTACATCAATTATACCGTATACCGTGACAATGCTTACAAGAGGTTGAAATGGGGGCTTAGTCGGGGGCGGTGGGTGTTGGGGCCAAGGAGAGGCAAAAACGGTTTAGACTTTCCACCAGGCACATGACACTCGCGTACCATTGTTTGCGGGGGAGGTAGCCGGTGACGTCGTCAAAACAAGGAAAAGCTGACTGGGACAAAGGGTTCACCTACAGACCGGGAGGACACATCCATGCGATCTTCACATGCTCCAACCTGCCCGGAGCGTTATGCCCAAGTCAATGGGTTCTTCTCCAGTTACGGTAGCGGTCAGGTCGCCATTCCCGGCGCAGTGGTACCCTTCGACCTGTTGTTAGTTTGGAACAAGGAATGGGCGACTTGTCAGCCAACCTACTGCTGGACTAGGATCATCCTCGATACAGTCAAAACAGGCCAACTCATAGTTCAATACCATCGAAGAACAGGTAGACAATATTGATGGCAGATCAGAAAGTTTATTGATTTTTTTTCCCCCTTCGTATGGCTCCTGTAGAATGCCTGTAGTAATTTTGTGGTCATGACGCATTGCTTTTTCCGTCTTCACTTTTCCTTTGGGGCACTGATGAATCCAATAGTTCCATCTTGTGTCTTGGACCTTCTGGCCAAGTTGCCTCGTGGTAGGTTGCCCTCTCTTGTTTCTTGCTAGAATACATTATAAACCCATTTGACCTTCAACTTGCATCTTTCTTGCTACTTGCCAGTAGCCAAGGGAAACATATCCCTGTCCCTGGGTATCGAGTAAACACCAAATAAAGATCCTGGTATCATTGAAGCCACAACGCCTTCCCGTGTACAGGCTTGTAGACTCGGATGCATACGTTCCACGCCTGCCTATGCCGTCTTAAAGGGCGGAGTGATGCTCATTAATGCTATCCACTGGTATCCAATGGTGAATGGAACACGTCGCTCGTGCCAATGCGATAAGTGATTATAAAAAAACAACGGTATAAAACGCCGGCCGGATGCATGCATTGGTATAGTAAACGCAAAAATCTCTCGCCATGCAAATGAGGGAAATGAAAAGAACATGGACCGGAGTAGGTATAGGTTACCAGTGAGGTCCAAGATGGTGTGCCAGGGCTTGCGTCCGTACAATTATCTACCATCCTTGGGTATGGTAGCCACCGTTTGAATCTTCTCGGAAGTATTGATTCCAGCTACTGGAATTAACCTCGTCTTCGGACTTCTTCATGTACGCTGTTTCGGGATATTGCTTTAGACGCGCCACGTCATGTGAAGTGTGACGTCGTTTTAATACGGCGTTAGCAGTCGAGGACTTTTGCTGCCGTTCCCATAAGAGTTGCCGCCTAAGCGACTCTGTTAGCTCCGTGGCCAACATGTGGCGCCTTGTAGTCCTAGGAGACAGAGCTTGCGGATCGGAATGAATTGTGGGCTTCGCTATGATGGGCTGAGCGCTGGACCTGGGGATTTCGTTGATAGGTTTTAGAGGTGTTCGACGCATTCCCCGTCTCATTTCCAATCCAGCTTCATCAGAATCGTTGGGAGACGCGGCACCTTGCGGAATGCCCTGTAGTTGACGCGCTCGCTGCGCAATTGCTGGCGTAGATTGTGAAGCATAATTGCTTAGTGCTTTTGTTCGCTCCTCACCAGCAAGCGCAAGACTGAGAAGAGATCTTTGGGAGGTCAAGTTAGGTTTAGAAGGTACTCGTCTGAATGCGAGTTTTTCATCCATACTCGATTTACCACTTTCTTCAATCGAATCTTCCCATTCCGAGTCTTCGTCATCGTCGTCAATGGCACTTTCGTCTACATAGCTGCCAGACTGGTCGCTAGGCGTTGATATCGTGCGCATTGTGACTTGATTACTGAAAGACGTCTGTTTCTTGTGGGCGCCCAAAAGTGAACTTGGTTTTCCAGAGTGCAATGCGCTCTTCAGTGACGGGCTTTGGTCCTCATTGGAGCCAGAGGAGCCACCGAGTTGGAACATCTTGCTTTTCTTAGCTGAGATGACGGGTTGGTGTACTGGTTGATGGACCTCAAGGCTTGGTGAAGATTCGTCGCCAGAAGACCCACCCAAGGCAAATTGAGCACGCTGTTTCTTAGACTGTACGGGTTGCGGTGCAGGTGAAGAGTGAGGCTCGGGGATGACGTCGGGCTGTTCGGACTTGGGTTCATGCGAATGTCTTGAAGGGGGGAACTGAGATGGCGAAAAGCCCCTAATCACGGCGGTGGTGTGGTTTTCAGGAGCGCCCACGCTGGTTGAAACCTGTGAGGTTAGACCAGATGATTCACAGTCGGCAGACTCTGTAGCGCGTGTGGTGAGAGTGTCTTCCACTTCGGATGAGCTAGACTGTAGAACGTCGCTATCGGTTTCCATGGAAGAGGAAACGATATGTGGCAAAGGCGAAAGATTTGGTTCCTTCTCGGTGATGATCGTAACCACCATCTTTTCCAAGTGATCTGAGGTGATATGCCGCTCACGGCCTTTGCTTCGGCTGCTGGCACAAGAGTCTTGTCGTTGTATATTGGGTCGTAGGATTTCTACAGGGTTAGATTCAGCTGTAAACTCGATGGCTTCGTCGTCTGCGATGGACTCAACACTACCAGATAATTGTGGTACGTCAGGTATGCGGTGCTTGTCAGGAATGTCTTGCGGTGGCATTGTAGTTGCAGAAGTGCCTCTCTTTGTCTGGGCTGTCGCCTCACAGCACAGAGCCTCCCTTGTCCAAAGGCGCCAGCTGAGGTTTTCAAGTCGTCGTCCTTGTTCTACTGATTCAGCGCATCTGGAGAAAACTAAGTATGGTGTTAGTTATCGCGATATCAAACTGACATATGCAATCTCAATTAATGGACATACCAGTCCACATGCTAAACAGGTTATGAGGATTGTTGGTGTCGACCTTGTGGATAACGTTCGGATCCACTGTGAGAACCAGTCCTTCTGCTTTACTTGGCATGCTGAGCAGATATGGTGCTCATGGAAAGGGAGCAGCAAGGATGGCGGGCGACGATGTCGGTTTAGATACCTGCAGGTGTGGCGCAAGTAGAAGGTAGCGAGCGATGACCAGGCGTTCCTCTTTTCCCAGAATACAGTAAATAGTTGTCGATTTGGGTACTGTCGTCACAAGCCGCTCAACCAAGGCCGACCAATTCAACAATGTCGACTTAACACAGTATATCCAATCTACCGTCCAACGTAGAGATGATGCGATTCGGATGAGAAGTGCTCTGCTGGGCGCGTATATACGTATGTATACTTGGCGTGCGTGTAGAAAGAAATAGGGAGATAGGGAGCAGACACGGCTGACGAGGATCAATGTTATGATAGCCGACTGTATGAACACCGAAAGTTATGTTGAACGCCGGCGAGGGTCGTGACATGAATATGGTAGGTGGTGTCAGTGGTTATGGAAGGGAGAAAGGATGTGGGTAGTTGTACATATTAATGTATTTGATAGAGGCTTCAGACCTCAAGGAATCGAATAGCCAGAAGCAGGGTGGAGGTCGGGCCCTGGTCAGTAGGTACATGCGTACAGTGGGGAATGAAAGGCGCGGGCGGTCTGGCAGGGCCTGTACCAGGGCCTCTACCTGGACTAGTACTTACATTTAGTACATTATCACACGGTACCTACCTGGACAGGTACGTACCGGAGCGACCAGGGCAGGGGTGCTGTGCGCGTGTGGTACGGGAGCACTTGGGTACTTCGGTACCTAGGTACGAGAGTACGAGAGTACCTCCAGCTCGTGTACCGCCCAGAAGTACCTGGATGCTGTGGGATAGCAATCTGGGCCTTTCACGGGCCTATTCGCAGCTCGGCAGGGTGGACTGACGAGCTTGCGGGTGGGGGATCTGTGGCTGTAGCGTAGTGTACTGGGATTTGCTTGTTATGAAATCCCTGAAATCCCCCCCCAAGCTACGCTACTGTACATCACGCTTATAGCGCCTTGTAGCGCGGCATGGTGCACACTACACTTCTGATTACAGCGCAGAGCTCTGTACCTTGTGAGGACTTTTCTCTGTGCCCCGCTAATCATAGGTACCAGCACAGGGACACTGCACAGCGGTCTGGTCTCATTGCACCACTTCTAGCGTCGAAACTGCTACTGTTCTCAGTCTAGAGCTGTGACTAGCGCTGATGCCCAAGCTGGATGTAGTACTACTCTCCTAATAGGGCATTTAAGACATGTTAAACATTGCCCCGCCGGCCAGAAGGTCCAGCGTGCCGACTCTTCCCTAATCCTCCTCCATATCCACACTAACAGAGACAGTTGGTTTGTTTGACCGCGGTGTAGCCGGTGAGAACACCCGCATCCGATGGGTTTGGCTACACTATGATAGTGATCCACGGAGGGATCTATGAGGATGGTATTCGTGCAAAGTAAATACGCGTCTACAGGTCTGTGTATCTGTAGGAATACCGAGTCAGTATGCCCAGCGAGTCAGAAGCACAGTGCAGAGGCAGGCCGGTGTTGCCAATACCATCAATCAATCACGAAAAAGGCCTGTCGTGACATGTTGGTTTGGCTACATCAGGGCCTGAATAGCAAGGTGACTGGCTCGGTGTGCATGCAACACGATCTGTTGCACAGATAAGCGACAACACAGTCATGGGACTGGCTCATAGGTGATGGAAGTTGGGATGACGACTACCTCCCAGACCCTTCTACGTGTCTTGTAAGGCATGCGGCGACAAGACAATACTTGTGTGCATCACAGAGAGAAACCATCATTGGTTCGATGGCCCATCTATTGGCCTCGAACGTTTGAAATACGTGCTGAGCATCACATGGAACGATGCTTGTATACCGTAACTGCTGTTATTACCGGATTCCGGATTGAAGACTGATGGACCGATCACGGGCGCACCAAGGAGAAAGCACTTGTTCTGAAGCACGAGATTAGCCGCTATGTACACTACGAAGTACAAATAATCCTTCTTCAGAGTCCTTCAATTCGCCGAGTTTTGAGCGAGAAAACCCTCACTAGGAACAGCTAGAAAACAACACGGAGCGCCAGCGGTTGCTAGTCATGGAGAGTCTCCGCTCCCGGCTAATTGTTTAAACGGCTAGCAACTACCTGGGCAGACCTGGGTAGCACCCTGAGGCAGCGTACAAAGTATACGTACCATCTACTGTACGTGTATACGATCATCCGTGATGTGTAAGTAGATCGTAAGAAACGGGAAATGGAAATGCAGCATCTCAAGATGCAGATTTTTGCACACGGCCATCGCACTACCGACGCTAGGATATGGCCGACCGGTGATATCTGAGGCCCTTTGCCACAGGTGCCACAAGTACAAGAAGTACAAGGCACACGTACTAAAGCCGTACCGCGGCCAATCTCCAATCTAGATGTCTCTCCATGTCTCTCTGACCAGCCCACCGAGGCAGATGGAAGGTAACAGAGAGGAAAGGCAGATCAGTAGGCCAGATAGATTGATCAGGCTGGGCTCACGTCGTGTTCCGGAACGACTTATGATTCAACCGCGACGGATCAGGTCAGAGCAAGGTCAGGCCGTGGATGATCTCTGTGTGCGTTGGCATTCCTCCGTTCTCGTGACTCCCAATCCAGCATCTACGGTTACGCTACCGGCTAGGATAGGCAGTCCAGAGGCAGTCCAAAGTCCTGTAGCTGTCTCTGAACTGGCGCGGGTCAAGTACAGCTGGTAACAAAGGGTCGACTTGCTCAACGGCTGGTTTTGCTTACTGCTTTTTACCTATTCCAGCTACTGCCGTGAATATGCATATACGTACTCAGCATCCTCAGTAGGTATGCGTGTTTGTACATACAGTAGTATGGCGGCTGGATGGTACCAACCCCTAGTCCTGGGTCCCTTTTTGTTTTTTTCGCCTCCCAATATAATTCCCTTGTATCGGATGTGATCAGGTGAGCGCGCTCAGCCTCGGTGCAATCAGCCAGCGGGTGCTGGCCGCTCGGGTCTCGTCTCGCTCCCTCTTCCCCCACACAATAACCGAGCTCCAGTTCTCGGCGTCTACTTTGTATTGAGAGGTAGGTAGAGTAAGTAAGTATGTAGGTACCTACTGTACTTACTGAGTCCGCTGCAACAGCTCAATTCCCATTCTGCAAGCGCGACTGCTCATCGGTCACATGCCGTCGCCCACGACTCGCTCGGGCACCAATCCAGTTCAGAGCTTCATCTCCCCCTTCTCATCACGAGCTACGCGCAAACAGCAATCTGCACCGTCCTACGTCTTGAACACAGATCCCTATGGCCGTCCGGTGGCCAATTAGTCGTGCATCCCTCTTTTTCTCAGTACACCGCGCCTCCTCTACATAGTATGCAACATGCCGGCTGTGTTGACCGGCTTAAAGTGCGCCACCGGTAATTGAATACACAGACAACTACTGACGACTCTTCGGTTAGTCGCCCAACGGCTGATGTCGCCAGCTTGCGCAAACGACTGTTGCGGACGGAAATTCCAAATACGTACAAATGAGGGTTTCGGACGACCTGAGAATACCGTGCTAGTAATCGTACATCATACCACCGAACGCAGGCCAAGTTCCCAGTCCCAAAGCCTTGGGTACGAACATAATTATATTCAATTAAATGCTCCCACGATGGTGGAGAACGCTGCAAATCACTACAGTATGGTTGGTCTCCCGCTACGTGCACGAGATAGTGTACAGTAGGTGTTGCTGGCACAAGGGTATCTTCCTTTCTGAACCCTATTAGGGAACACTCTGACACCACGAAAACCATGATGCATGATGGAACCCTGAGTACTGAGTATTACTTACTCGCCCCCCGAGACTGTCCGGACTTCGTGGATTGTAATCGAGACCACGAGTCTCAGCACACCGGTCTCGCGCATAGCATACACTTATTGCTTTGTGAGTTGACAAACACCATGCCATATGTAGAATCAACAACAGCCTTGGAGACGGCAGTTTATGCTCAATCTCGAGCATTCCATACGCGCGGCCGTATCCTCAATAATAGTTTGTCACACGACAGGAAAGAAATATGAAATTAATTCAATGTGGAATATGCCCACTCCTCTCCACCACCTTGGGTCGTGCCGTCGCTCCGGGAGTTGCAGCGCAACATAGTGCCTCCTTATTCAAGGATTTCCGTCTTTTGTTTTCGATTCTCCATTCGATCCATATCTCTGCAGGTCTGTAGGTCTGTTTGCGGATTCATTATTGACATCATAATCGAAATAGCGATTATAACTAGCCACCCATCTAGGTATCGGGCGTCGGACCAGGTGCTTGGCGTGGTTAGGTGTGTGTAGTGTAAATGGTAGTAATACATTCATTTATTTCCCTCATCTCGCCGTCGATGGTCAATATGCCACACATGATCGGAAGTTACTTGCACATTCGCTCCATATCAATTTCCCAAGTGATGTAGTCTAGAACGGAAGGGGCAATTTCAACATGCGAGTAGAGAATGCGAGCAACGATTCAGAAACGCAAAACAATCACACGTGCGACCAGGGGGGGTTCTACAGGATTCCTCTCGGTGAAGTTCGTTTCAATTACGAAGCAGAGATACGATGTACCTGGGCGCGGGATGAAGCCAGACATCCCCCCACGTCTACACTAGGCATTGACGTGAGTTGGTCCATGTGTTCCGAGCGAACTTGTTGGAGGATTCCAGCTGAGGATCAAAAACCAAGGTGCGTCGTCGGCTACGCAAGCAAGCTGCGGGAGCTCCCTTCCCACCACAATCTAGAGGAGCCATGGGGATTCCAAACCATCATTGTTGTCCACATATCCATCCAATTGCAATATGCCCGCGTCGGAGGCGATGGATGACACCATACTTATGACCGACCACAGCCTTTTTGCTCAATGGAGTACCTAGAACAAGCCTGAGGATTTTATCGTCTCTCCAACTTTCCAATTCAGGGTAGGGTCTTTGGGTGCATTCTCCATCTCATCTTCGGAAACCAGCCCGTTTCTAGAACATGTCAGAGCAAGTACCCCTTCAAATAAGAACATGAGATCTTAGTGCACAACGATCGTGAGCAATCGCAAACTAGTTCTAGCTTCTGAACGTAGGATAGGCTTGTGTGCTGCTGTACGATGTAACGTATTGTTGTATCAGGATTCCACGTACCTGGATTTGCCTACCGCCTACTATCAGATATCAACCATCACAATCGATAGCGTACACACGATGAATGGTGAGATAGGGATGCCCAGGTGTACATAGGATTGTTGTTGCTTACCTGTTTGTCAGGGAAATGGGCGATCAGTTCTGACAAGTGACCGGCCACGTTCCCCGGAACCGGTGTGCCGGACAGGGGGGGTGATGGGGCCAAGCCGGGTCACGAGTGCTTCCCGTCCACTTGGTGGGACACCATTCCCCAAACTGGTGTAACGCGCAGAGGCCCTGTAATTATGTTCGCATACGGTAGAGGCAAGAAATTAACTGGTTGAAAGGAGATTGATAGTCTGATGTTGGGGATCACGGTTTGCTGTGATACCAATATCTAAGTATCGTATACTCAATGCATTATTCTACGAAGACCAGAGGGCGCAATATTCGCAAGGATGCCAGCTTTTGCTCAAGCTTATTTGGGTGTGTGGTATGCGGTAACTCAATCCGAGGTATAGCTACTTTTGCATTATGTCGTGCATCATGATACCACGCGTTTGCGTGCTACCGTGATAGTGTAGCGATCAAACACCACCGCATATCCCACCTTTAGTGAGTGAGTGAGCTCCCTTTGATACTAACGACTTGGCGTATGGAAAAGGGAAATAGAGCTATTTCCTGCCGCAACAGAACACCAACAGAATGCTGGGTACTCTAGGACATGAAGACATTATGTCAGCTCAACAGCATTAAAATGCGTATATATCGAGGATTGATTCGCTGAGGACCGATAATTCAAATCTAGCAACGGAGTGGCTGGAATCTAGCATCTCCGTATCCAATTGATCTAGGTTATCACAAACGCCGAGACAACTCGCCTCAAGCATGTCTCAGCCTTCTGACTGAGCAACCCGATCCGGGGGCGATCTAAGGTTCATATGACGCCGCCGGGAATCTGGGAACTGATACAAGTTCGATTCAGTCTGGTATGTGGCCGCACATATGCCGTAAAGAATTCCAGCGGCGTGGAACGCTGCGGGACGCACCTGCGGGGGCCTATCTACTACGCTGCGCGACGATATAATACCTTATTTCGAACCGATAAAATTAGTTGTGAGTAGTCCAAGAGATAGCAGGCTCAATAGTCTCCCTCGATCCTGATCTGTCTCGGAAAAAGGCTTTCAAACAGAGGCCAGCTACATGTCGCATTCCATCCCTCGTTTTTCTTTTCTTCTTCGAGGTGATAGCATTCGTTTCAGGTGTTTGCTAAAGCAGGCATTTATTAGACAAGACTACCGGTAGTTATATCAAGAAAACCAATAATCCGGGGTAGATTCGAATATCAAGCACTGTATCCACGTCATGTTTCAGTTAGAGTGTCAGTTTCAATGTTGGTTTTCCCTAAGTATTGTCCACGACCAAATGTTTCCACATTTTCATAAACACTGGTATACAGCCTAGATAGATATCGTGCATCCGAATCGTGATTGCTTTTGGCGATCCGACCATCGACGGTTTGGGATTTGTATTCTTGCACGTGCCCGTGCCAGTGAGTCATAGGAGCCAACGGAAAGAAACAAGCTGTCGCCGTCCTATAATATCCTCTTGCGTGTGGTGCAGAGAATAGCTTCGCGCCGTTTTTTTGCGACAGCTCACTTTCCACATAAAGACTTGGGAAGCCACTGTCTGCAGCCCTGCAGCCGTCGGGTTCTTGGTCCAAGACTCACGTCACCAACCGCCTGATGTAGGTACTGCATTCGGTAAATTGAGCCACTAGTTGATTAAGCATTGATTTAGTACGGAAACACTCTGCTGCAATGCCAAATAGAACTCAATTGGCAAAAAAAGGGGTCCTAGTTTTGCAAAGTACGGGTAGGCTCGGCCAAGTTCGGGTATGTCTGGCAAGTGGTTAGTTAGTTACATTACTGTACATGTACTTAGTATGTCGTTCATTTGTATTAACCTTAACCGAGAAAATGATCCCATAGCGAAACCCCGCGTCAGCAATCATATGAATTTCTACCAATGGAGTATTTCAAGGTAATCACCAATCACAGCAACGCTCCTTGCTTACCGTTTCCAGGGTTGCAATCCGACGACAACTTTGGAAACCAATAGCTCTACTGTAACAACTTCAAGGATACTGACCCTTCACTCAGTAAATCTAAATGCAGAAGAGGCCCCCTTTCTAGACCGAAGCTCAAACAAGCTGTCTACTGGTTGCAACTCAGGAACTTGCCTCTTGTCCTAAAATGGAACTTTCCATTCCTAGCAAAAGACCCCTAAATGTCAACCATTCCTTCGGGAGGCAACGCCACTCTTCCAGAATGCTAGCCCCAACAGTCATACACTTGCGTAGAGTACCTAGTAGATTACGTTACTTAGCCTCGGATTCATGATTTACCTTGCCTACATATGTAATCTGTGCCCGCAGAGCGCACAATTAATTGAGTGTCCTATACAACGTCAGCAGGCCACCCGAGCCGGCGCCGACGCAAGTAATGCTTAGAACGATTTTACTCCAAAGGAGATATATATCCGCCAGGGACAGCCGGGCCGGGCAAGCCATAACATCGGTCAAGAGGTCACGACCTGCCTGTCTGACCAACCAAGGGCACTTTCATCCCGCCGCCGACCAGGGGAACCTTGTTGTGCCGTGCCCTTCGCAACGGCTATTCAAGAGGTTCTGATTTCACCGCGCGCCTTAAAATCTTACTCTCAGCTGTAGTGTAAAGTAAAAGAACTCACTGTGTGGTGCTTCTGTACAGTACATCAATACGGGTAGACGAATTTGTAGGGGTCTGTAGGGGAAAATATGCCAATCAACTGTAGCATGCACGACACATGACTTCCCCCAGTCTGCCCCAGGTTAGATGGTCCTCTAAGCTAAACTCTACGAATTCAGCGCTGAACCCTGCATATCCAAGCCCTGCTGTCAAAGGCGTGAATTCGCTAGCCATTGATTGGAAGAACATTTTGCCTGCGACGCCGGAATACCGCCAAAACCTATCACGTGGGGTGCTGATGGAATTGGTCTGGACTCCGTCTTCGTAGTTGTCGGCGTTTCTTCCCTAGCCCCGTGCTAACTTTCAACTAACCAGGATATTTGGATATCGAGAATTGTCTGTTCCTGGAAACCCCGGGCTCTGCCCGGGGTAAGCTAGAGCGGTACGTAGATCCTGATCCATTTCTCCATGAAAGCTACCATCGTAGCTCGTTTCTCCGTGCCGCGGAACTTAAGCTTAGATAGAAAATGTTCGGCCATATACATCGAGCTCGGTACAGTACATCACAGCTAAAACATACTAAATTGATTGACCACGATGGTGACGACAAGCTCCGTGAAGCACGTGAAGAGTAGAGGCGTCCTGGGAATTTGCCACCCAATGGTCACACTCGCCGGCAAAGACTAGAGAAGACGTCTAGACTACAGGGAAACATCTGATGCTCCAAAAGAATCTGGGGCTCTCATGATCAAGAGCGGCTCCCTGCCGAGCCCCGCGTTCTATGGCCGAAAGGGACCCCAGAATTGAGGACCCATAGATGGTCTAAGAGTGCTATGCATTAACCTAAGTGTCTTACTTAGAGTCGAGGTTGTGGCGATAGCATAATCTACGTGGCATGTTATTCGACTAGACATATGCGACTCATGACCTCGTACAACCTTCGTGAGATACGTGTTCCTATTCATCATATTGAATATCGCGACTTAAGGTCTTCATTCCACTATTGTTATTTTATTATGATTTTAGTGCTCTTTCTAATTATTATCAACACTGTGAGTACCGTCACTACAGGTCACCTGCGCATCAGATCCTCTAGGCTTAATTATGATTAAGGGATCTGACGCATCTGACATCTTACGAAACATGGAATTGCCCAGGACACGTACTATTCGTATCCAGCAGCCTCAAAGTCGATCCACATTGAAACGTTCAGTAGGTGTTCTAGATAGGCATGCCTCTTTGTGGCGCAAGAACTTAATTATAGTTATTCTTCGTAGGTTGAGCAGCGTCTTGAGCAGCGCCCTCGGGCTTATACTGTAGTAAAGGTAATCTCAAAATACCACCTTATCTCGAGATCACTTGAGTCCTGGTCAGGTACAGAGATGGTCAGTTGATTGCTTGGGAGTGGTTGGAGACGCTGCATGTCAGAGGGGAAGGGGCATCGTTACCATTCGCAAGATGCTCATTTCAGCCCTGCGGCGCGGCAATCTTGCTGTCTGCTGCGACCTAAGTATACCTACCAAGTCCCAGTCGTACGTTCACTGCGGACTGGCGATATGGCCTACAAATAGAATGGAGTGAAAACCTGCCTACAGTACTAAGTGACTCCGAGACATACAGTCATCATCCCTATTGTTGGGCTCGTACGAGCTCGTCTATCTATCCTCTTTTTAGTCGCTATTTTTGCCGCCCTGTAGGCCAAACGTTGCATCGTGTCGCACACTCGGTAATCCACGCTTTGGTGTTGGGACCTTGAGAGCTCTCATTGCACTCGCACGCTAACTGATCGCCGCTCTGAACATAAATGAAGCACCACAATCGTTCCACGCCTTGTATCTAAGACCTCAATACACAAAGAGTACATGTAGTCACATAATATACATCTAAACTTACTAGCAGACCAATAGCGATCCTTCTGCTGATCTCCCCAGGTTGAAGCTGTCCTGGTACCAAAAACACACAAAAGTTCCCCTGTAAGTATTTAGTCAACAGAGAAGTCCAGTATCCGCGAGGGAACAGCAACAGCAACAGTAACATAACCAACCCTACCTATAATAATCCGCACAAGGCTAACGACTGGTAGCTTGTTGCATATAACATCACGTATAACATCACGTTATGATCTTACAGATGTCGCTTCCTCGCTCCGTACTCGGAGATCTTTCAGTAGTCCTATGGACAATTCTGCGTCACAAAGCCGCTCCATCACGACGGGCAGAAAGTCTGAATGGGGTGGCACATGAGACAAGGCTGTCGAGACGGTTCGTTGACCTCCCCGCCCTTCCCCCGGCTACCCTACACTTCCCCGCCACCGATGGCCGAAATGTTCCCTTCCCCCAGAAAAGGGTCCGAGGACCACGTTTCTGGAGGCTCGCAACCCCAGCATCTGCCCAGCACATACAGAGCTAGTATGGAGGTGAGGTGTGACTCGATCTTGATGCTCCCCAACGAGGGACCTGGCAATGTGACATGAATCCTTTCTGATGTTTTCGCGAACCCCTGCCGTGCTCTCTTCAGCCACACGGCTCTGAAAAGGTACGGTAGGAGCTGTCTTTCGAGGTATATGTGATACGCGGCCCATTCAGAGGGTTGGATTTTGAGCATGCGCATATGCGAAGTACGGTTTACGCGCTCCTGCATAGGCCTTTTTCTGAACAGTACTTACTGGCCATACCTACCTACCTATCCATCCCTTTCAGATTTACTATTTAACGCAATGTTTGTAGCTAACCTTGCATATGAGATAGTTTTAGCAAAATAATGTTGCACATTTCAGTCTAGGACCTCTGGACGATTTTCCAGCTAGTAAATTGTACTTTTGTACTAGTCAGGTCATGGCCCTTCACTAACAATTTACTCGTCCAGCCAGCCCTACGAGGTGCTGTGACGCCATACGACCAGGCAGACGTCTCCAACGATGTGCCGGTACAAGATAACGCTGTAACGCTTACGGGGATTCGGTCAGGGTGGGTATCGTTGAAAAACGCCCCAAATCGAGATGAAACAGACTGTCGAGCTTCTTCTTTGGGGTATAATGTCTCTTGGGTCCTTGTGATGCGACGTGATCCTGCAGACGTCTTTTCACCGCTTCCTTTTAGCTTGATCAGTGCTAGAATGGACGTGCGGAAGAGGAGGGGACGGTGGAAACGGAATGGGGGCAGAAAAGGTCATCAGCCATTCCTATCCTTCCCGTGTCGGCGTCTTCCTCCTCGGAACTCCAGCGGTCTAATCCACTATCCATGTCAAATCATCTGGCACATTGTTGGTTCGAGGGTACAACCAAGAAACAACACGCACGATCAGGAATTGTTGGTGATATCAAATGGTGACATGCGCTAATAACTAATTTTGCTGCTCATTGCCGAGTACTCGGTTGCGTGACTCGGGCCGACCTTATTGAACGCGTCGCCAAGGAAGTTTGATGGCAGAGCGTACCAACGGCTAGATAGATGGTCGATGCTACCAATTGGAAGGGTTGTATAGGTAGTGCGGGACAGATGCGGGAACCATGACCGCGGATGAGACGCGGTCTGGGGATAAAAAATGAGAAATAAAAACTGTCTTACCTAAAAGATATAGCTAAGATACGAAGACGCGGGGAAAGTATCCGGGCAAAATTACATACCGGTAGTACGTTAGAGTCGAGACCCAGCTCACTATTTAGATAACCGAAGACCGCGGTCGAACTGTTAACGACAATACCTAGCCTGCCTTATTCTTCCCGGGCCAGCGGATCCAACCAACATCATATCATTAAGCACTCGGCACTCACAAAGACCTCAGATCAGACCTACTATCAACGCGTTGGTCAGCCGGTCGCGTCTCTACACAGTACTTATGTAAGTATCGTTATCCAGGGCTTGATGATTGATCTGCATCTGCGCCCCGCCTGGTTAGGTGGCTCGCTTAATTGCCGACCGTTTCGGAAGGGAGCGAACTTATGATATCATAGCAGTTCGGCCAGGTTACCGTTATCTCAGACGATCACATGTAGGTTGACTACCTATTTTGAGATGTATTATGGTGTTAGAGAGGCTATCAGCTTGATGCCGCATGGACTTTTGGTCACTAGATATGTTGACCTCATCTCCCTCCTGTTTCTGGGGGTCAAGCCGCTGCATGAACAATGGAGGATACACTACTGCTAAGGGGGTGATGGTGATTCTCCATTTGATCAAATTATCTTTGCTGAGCACGGCAAGGGTGCTTAAAGGGGACAGGTAGATCGGACTGATTGAGGAGGCATCGAGATCTAGCGGTTTACAATAGCACGGATGAAAAGATGACACCGGTGTGCTGGGATTAAAGTATGGGGAACAGTGACTATACCCACAAGTGCTGCTACCACCGGAGAACGATCGACATTGATTCCCAGTCCGCCGGAATGCTGCATAGGGGGTCGAAAGGTGATATGTGCTGTACTGTCGATCTCACAAACGGTCTGTTTAAATCTACATGGTCATGAATGTCTCGCAGCTCCTCAATCCGGTGTTCGCGAGTATGAAAGTGAGACTCGCATATGATGTCATTGCCGTATCTGGCTGGCATTGGTCTTGATGAGGGGGTTAGCCACTAAGATGAGTGTTACTGTACGACATCAGTCACGTCACGAACGGTAAAGCCGTGACAGAGTTGTCGGAGACGACGATTGGCCAGGACATGTCATATTGGTTATTAGAAAAGCAGGCTAGATAGGGTATCTATTTACAACGGCTGTGAAGCTTCAGACGGCGAGTCATATTCCAGATCTCAGCAAGCACGTTTCCTGCTTATACCAAGAGCCGAGCACTATGACTCTAGGTATTAGGTGTCGAGGTCAACCTGTTTTCCCATGTTAGAGACAGACTAGAGTTGAATTAAAGTGCTCTTCTTCATTTTCATATATAGGATGGCGCAAGCTGGTCACAGCAATTTAGTGGTGAGATTAGGGAATCGAGGATCGAGGATCGAGGATCAGCTCACATGCTCGTCAAACTATGTTGCTTGTAGTAGTACGTCTTGAAGACTTGAGGTAGGGGTTTTGTATCTCAATGTTCAGGCTTAGGGGAAGCAGAGAACAGGGTAAAAGAAAATAAAATAAAAATTAAAAGTGAAATAGAATAAACATAAATTTAGTGATCATAAAGTATTCCCGGGGTTCTTAGGATTCATACAGCTGTTGCTGAGACTGTATGGTGATCAGGACAGAGTAGTACACTTGCGGCCGAGACCTGTCTACGTGGGATCAAGTCTAGAATCCTGAATATTTGATGTTCAGCAGTCTCAAACTCGCATCCCCCTCTCCCTAGGGGCGTTGCTGACTAGAGTTGGATGATAGACACAGTGTCGCACATAGATTCTGGTTGTGAAGCAGGACCGGAGTAGTCAGACACGTGCTTGTCAGCATTGGCATCGTCTGCAAGTCATATGTACCGAGATCATGGGCCCTTACCAAACCTGCAAGAATGACTTGTCAGTTGGCTTGCAGATAGATCTTATTCGCCGGCTCTGGGCCTCCTAATTCCAACTCCTTAGCGAGTCCCTTTTTTGGTCTTTCCTCGGAACCGGGCACAGGTGAAGGGTTGCTATGGAATCCTGGACCACTGACGGACAGTGGAGGTTATGGCAATCTCTCCTCCATCGTCAGGCCAGCAAGAGCCAACAGGTATCATATAACGATGTTTCTGTATGTTTCTGCGCATATCCTTAGGGGCAATGAGACATCACAAGCTCTCCTTTTTTTTCCGACGACTCTATCATGTCAGCTTACCAGCATCCGTGGTGCATGCAAGATGTATGAGCATATCACACCTAATTCTGATTTTCCTTCTCTATCACCGCGAGTCGCGGTGGAGGTGAATTCTATTCTTAACCCCCCCCTAATACGAAGTCCCTTAAGTACTGCTGTTGTTCCCGTATAGCAGGATCTGTCAGTTGAATATGAAGGATACATGGCTAGCTGACTATTTCGTAGTAGTGGTCACTGGAGCCGGCAGAACTCGTTGAATGTCATCTCAGAAACCCGACAGTATCAAGACAATCCGGTTAAACTTGCTCCCGTAAGCCCAACTTCAGTGGAGTAGTCATGTCTTAGACAACTACTACTGTAAGTTAACATACACCAAAGATCGATGATCAAAGAGATAACCTGATTCGAGCTATAGCATTACAGTGCACTGCAGCTGAGACAGTCATTAGAGTGCATCGGGTGTTCGCTGTCCCCGATGAGTCTTTGGTCAGCGGCTGTACGCGCATAAGCTATAACCATCGAATGAATGGTGCTGTTTAAAATTGCGTATGCAGCCGATCAGATGTATGTTAGCAAGGTGTGAAAGAGCAGTCTAGGGGTTGAGGTGGCGAGTCGTGACAGTACGAAGTAATGAATGTATGGCCCTCCATCTGGTGAAGCAGTCAGCTCATCGGGATTTTCAGTAACGCTTCGGCACGAGAGATGAGGCGTTCTACGGGTGTGGCGTTAGATCTCCCAATCATGTGTATCAAAAGGATTGCCAAAGACTGATCACGCGCGCCTTGTCAATCCTTGGGGGCCAAGCTCGGAAACACCCCCCCTCCCCATGGAGAAGAGATGCAACCCAAGAATGACCTCAGCCTCTGCTGAAAGAGCTACAGTAGCCTTGTTATAACAACGCCACTGAACGCTTGCCCGCCCCTTTTGATGTTGCTTCTTCATTTCCGCCGTACTTCTTCCCATGGGGTGGGTGCTTCCTCGGCCCCTATTGGAGGGCTGTGTTGGTGATGATAATTAGATAAGCGTATTCTAATCAACCACAGGCATGATAATTCAAGCTATAGTATGATCTGTGGTTAGTAATGGGGCGCGGCAACAGAGTTCCCTCGGTCCGTTCCTTGAGATAGCTACAACTAATGAGTATACACCGCAGTGAGCACTCACGGATTAGTGATAACCTAAGCCAGATATCCGGAGCATCTTGATTGACTGACATAGTATTGATACACTTCTATCATTGATCCTCCCCAAGAGCGCTTCTATAGTCAGGTTTCTGACATTTCGGACATCGGGAACACTCATTCTGCAACTAAGGTGATTGACATGATTACACATCTGTCATCTTACAACAAATCGACATGCCAGCTAGGAGGACCTCCATCAACGTTTCAAGGTTAGGAATTATTAACGCGCAAATTTCCAATGTGGGAATCTCTCACCGCTAGCATTGGATTCAAGCCATCCATTGTCGCTCGAGAGAGTTTATTCTGAAACTGATTACTCCTGCTATCTTGATGGAAGGCATTCATGGTCCCCTGAACAGTTCTCAAGGGACCTATTTCATATTCCGCATGGCTCTTGTGTCAGCCTTGATTGGTAAACCCTTAGATAAACCTAGACAATACGCCACGGAGAATACCCTTGGCACACTCTGAGAGTTTATAGTACGGTAATAGTACTGCTGTTTTAAATATATCGACCAATAGGATCTCCAAGGTATCCTCAAGCTAGGGTAACTACAGCTATACAGCAGTAACTTTTCGCGATTGGTTTAACACCTACAATAACTACTGTGATCACGGTAGGGACCTCACCCCAGAGCCCAAAAGCGTCGACTTGTCCGCCGGGCTTTGCGGGGTCTCCCAGGATGTCACAGGGTTTGGAGCTGCAGGGTGAGCTGCAGCCTGCACAGCAGGAACTTGCATTTCGTGGGGGATACACGGTTGTGGCGGTAATGAGACCAAAAGGCGAAGCCGTCCAAGAACCAGCAAGCAGTCGCAGCAACGCCGAATAAAAAGGCTATCAAGTCACCTTGATCTGACGTTTTCTGTCTTGTTCTGGATATAAGTAGGACATGGGCCATGGTCGCAATCACCTGCTCACCTCATACGGCTCATTCTCACGCACTGCATGCAAGGCTCCTTTGTGCCAGCACATCAACTCAACCAAGTTCACTACTTGGGGCGACATCAGCTTATCATTGACTCCATGAACGAGGGCTATGACAGTTCATGCGCAAATCAGCACCCCTATTCGCCTGGGCAAGTCATCCTACCTCGAGATATGAGAGGTGATTAATCAGTGCACTGTACAGAAGAGAATATTCGTGAAGGGGTGGCAGGAGGACTGTATCAGTAACCGGGTCTTGTGATGGCTGTCCGTTGATATTATCTATTATCGGGCTTGGCCGTAAGCCTGCAGGTGTTCTGCAGCCGGAACAGCAGCCACATCGAAGCATTTTCTTCCACACGGAAAACAAAAGTCCAGGGACAGGGTTATACTTATATATATAGCGAAGTTACCAAGGCCAAGTTGGTGTTGGCTTTTATTTCTCGCTCGCTTCTTGTCGCCGGGGGTCATCAATGCGCATAAGGTGACTTCGGTTCGCGGACTTGCGAGCTGCCCGGTGTATCGAGTAGGTACTTAGACCTCGGGGGAGGTTATCTCTGAGGCGCAACGGGGCTATCTCGGATCTACCTATTCAGAATCGTTAAATCTCTTGATATATCTGCGTACCTATGTAAGGCAAGGTGATGATACACTTTAACGTCCCTGTGCTCGGCCGTCGCTTTCTGCTACACTCATTTCCAACCGGTGAAATCTAGGTCGTACCGAAACTGCTAGGGGACTGCGAGTCATACGAGGGACTCGGGGAGACTGTTAATATCACATTCAGCTCGTGGCGATCTG